GATTTTTACCAATTCTAATTTGGCTACATGTTAATTAAAATAATCATCTATTGAAGTCTAACCTTTCTGTAGCCACGAAGTATATGAAAATACCAAAATATTATACCTTTATCTTATATTATTTTTAAAATAAACGTTAGAATTTAGGAGTATAATTTTATTACACACAGTTTTTTATTTCATAACATTCCGAAAACGAAAGTTTTTTAACTTGTTTACATTCAAAAAGTTGTTTGATTGATTGATTAATATATTTCAGGTGTTGATAGGACAAGTTTTTCTAACAAGGCAATTATCTTGAACTGTTAGATTACAAATTGATGTTGCATAGGGAATATTGCTGATCATTCGCCCTACTACTTACACTGTTATTCTCTCACTCAATACTAGCATTCTTTAGATACTTGTACCTGTTTTCATATTCTCATCTGAGGTTAAAGAAATGGTGCTTTTATCTGGATATTCGATATTATATTCTTTAATACTCTCAAATATTGACGATTACAATTCTCTCGTACTTATTCTCATACGTTTATTCTTGTCAATCTACGAATGTTATCTTTTACTCTCACTATCTTCTTTCTCTGTTTGTCATATGTTAGGTACCTCTAATTCGCTTATTCGAATCACTCTATATAATTCATATTGCTTCTTCTTTATATCTCATTATGTCAGACAATTCAAAATTATCATTCAGTTTAAATGCTCGTTATCGGTCAAATCTACTTCTCTCTCTATGTGATTCGTTTTCATATCGATTAAACTCTGAAAATTTTACCGGAACGTTTTTCTTCTACCGTCAGCATGTGTCTAGATTCATTCGTTAATTTCTCTGAGATATGTCTTCAGAATACTCAACTCTTACAGGTTGGTTCTTCTTTCATCTATATCTCAGTCGCTCACGCTTTAGATATGGTCTAGGTTTCAATGCTCTTACTTTATAGGTACTACTTCTATTATTCTATATTTTCATTATCTTCTAATCAGGTACTGTTTCACTTAAAGTATAAGCGGTCATGCCGTAATACGCACTGCAAATGTGATTCGCTAAGTACTGCCTGCACTATTATGCAAGTACTCTCACTCGCTGATAATAGATCGACTTCATACATCTACTAGGTCAGTATTCTTCTCTTTATATATCATATCGTCTGGTATATTCTCTCTCGTGTCTTCGCCAGAAATTAGCTTGCGAGTTCGCCCTATTCGCTCTCTTCGCTCGGTAATTCAATGCTTACTTATAATACAAGTTCTACATTGTGCGGTTCTCTAGTTTCAATCTATCTACTCAGATCACTTGCATTCACTCGACAATCGCTCTTCTCATTCGCTCTTATGAGCGGAGTCATACGTCTCTGATCCTCTTCGGTGAATCGTATTACTTCGTGACAAGTTCTTGTCACGTAAGTTCTCTGTTGCTATTGCTATAGTGCTATTTTACGGAATTTTGTAACGCATTTCGCGTGAAATGAGTTGCTATCTCTGTTAATAGTATAAGTCACGTTTAGGTAGGATTTTGTACGCTACACTTGTGGCAAGACCAGCTGACAGAACCTAACTCGTGTAAGGTACTCTACTGTGAAGTTGTGTGTACACGTTGGAAATGATAATGATACAATGATACTCTTGCATAGTCTCACATAGTCGAGAGAAATTCACTTTGCAGATGCTAACGCTTCGTGTTTGATAGCAGTCGGTCCCAAGTGTTAGAATTCTCGACTACAGCTGGAGTTTTATATTTGGTCGTCCCTCCCAAACGGCAGGAAGGTCAATTTCTTATGCTCGCACAGATGGGGATGGAAACGTATAAATATCTTCCCAATTGATCCTCTGGTCTCTGTGGTACCTTTCTGCAGCAAAAGACGAGCAGCTTCCACTTACGCGTACATGAATGTGCATGTCTACAGCTCTGATTTGGGACAATGAGCACGTCGACGCACACAACATGAATCTATCTGAACAATAAATCCTGTAATAATATTATTGATAATTATAGTAAAAATCTAATCAAATTTTTCTACATATACCATCAAAATTCTGTCATCCGTAACAATTCAGTATTGTTCTGCCCAGGTGTAGGTTTCAGTGAGGATAGTTTGTGTGTGGACTTTGGTTACTGCACATTATGACAATATTTCCACAATCAGATAACAGTAGAAAATGAAAAATCTTGTATTGCAGCCTAAACAGAAGAAATCTGTACCAATTGTTTATTTTAAAGTTAAGATTGCCTGATAATTTTAAAAAAATCAATGATTTAAGTTAATATTTATTATTTGTAATATTTGAAAAAATAAGTTATACAGATGAAGACTTAAATCAATTATACAGTTTATACAAAGAATATATTTTTTATAAACTTTTTCACATAATTGAACAATTTCAAGAAAAAAATACAATGCAATATGCATTAAAATGAGCATTCTTATGAAATAAGCAATTTGTAGTAGTAGTCTGTAAATAATAGCAAATTTAGGAACAATACACACATCATGTTAGTTTCAAGAAAAACACGTTAAATCTTCAAGGATATTTGTAATTCTAGATTTGGAATAAAATGTTTGCTAATCCCACAAAAAGTATAACCTTTTAGAGAAGAAGAGCATTAATAAAAATGAATTTTTTATTGATACTCACTTAAGAATAAAATTAATATTTTTAAAACTAATAAACATTCTTTTTAATCTTACTAATTTTAATAATATTAACCTTTTTCCTTGTATATTGATAAAATACCATTTAAGAGGGAAGGGACAGGACAACTATTAAATAGAATTTAATATTTCAAAAACTGTCTAATATTGTTGTAAGATTTTTTATGAAATCAGTTGTTTTTAACAGCAAGAATTTTTTGATTCAGGTAATATCAAAGAGTATATATGGTTACCCTGGAACCACTGCCACTGGGTAATATTACAGAAAAGATGGTAAAATTTCTTTGTACGAAGAATGCCTTTTTTCTGAACCATGCTAATAGGTGGTGCCCCGAGCTTATTTGATAATGTGAACACATGAGAAGTGTTTTAAGAGCATGAAACTTTAAGTACTCAAATTTAAAGATTTTGTAAGTTAAAGCGGTATTGCCCCAGACCCCTCAAATGTATGGTATCTATGTGGGAGGAAAAACAAAACAAAAAACAATAAGGTAATGGTCAATTTAAAACTTCGTTTTCAATTTTTTCTGCTTTTAAAGTAATTAAGGATAAATAAATCACTTTACAATTTTGGTTGTAAATAAAAACATCTAACACGATATTTAAAAATATTATTTAAAACAAGTTAATCTGAATCATAAGGAAAGCAGATAATAATCTTGGATATTCCCTACACCCACCCAAAGAGTATGTATGATGCACCCACCACAATAATTCGCATAACCTTACTTTGAAAATGTGAGTCAAAACGCAACAGCTGCGCTACCTGCACCAGGCCCGTGACTGAGGAAACAAATGTAGTTCCCCGCCTTTTCTTTCACATTGAGTGAACCGGACAGGAACCGGCCCTGGCTATAATATAGTGCTATTATTATGTATAAAAATCGCACTATACAAACAAGACATTCGGCTCGTTGCGTTATCACAATGATGTTTGTTTAGTGAAGGTAGTTATATTAATAATACATGTCCGTGCCACATCTAAATAAAGAACTGAATTAATATTACCATTGGTGGCGAAAAATTCGACATGCATTACAATTAACCACGCACAAATAACATTTCATGCATGTTTTAAATGTTGAAAACAATACAGCTATAAGGAGACTGCGGACTGGAGTGTGTACATAGATACCAGTGATCTCGGTATGATTCGGAGAGGCATCACTAACTTACGTTACAGTTGTTACAGTTTAGTGAGTAATAGGTTATCAACAAGATTAGTGTTTTCAGCTAGATGTTGTAGTAATAAAGATAATGACAGAACATCAGTTGGAAATGCCAAAAGCAATGAGAGAGAGACAACCTCACCGTTTTCTACTTTGGAGAAATATAAAATATTTAAAGATGAAGATTCTCCTGTAATATTTGATATTGTTGAAGAGAGATTCAAAACTCTTCAATATGATCCTGAAACACAGGATGGGTATCAAGGCCTCAATCTTGAAAGTAATTTAATATTTAGTGTAGATTGGTTAAATATGTACATGTATGATACTAATGTGTTTTTACCACCCTTCAGGAGGAAAGGACGGTGTCTTTGATATTGAACATTTAGTAGATCTGTTGCAACAAGAACAAGCACAACATATTTTTGTTTTGAAGATACCTGAAGAAGTCCGGTATGTGAATTATTTAGTAATTGTTTCTGGAAAGTCTGTAAGGCATATGATTGCTTTGGCTGAATTTGTGAAATTGGTTTACAAAAAGAAAAGGAATGATTCAGATCGAATTCCAAAAGTAGAGGGTGAAGATTCAAGTCATTGGATTGCTATGGATCTGGGTGAGTACAATTAGAAAAGAGAGAATTGCAATAAATCGTGGTGTACCCTTATCAAAAGTTATGTTGTTTTAAAAAATTTATATTTAAGGTTATGTGTGCCTTGGGTAAATTTATTTCAACTGTTGTTTTTGAATTTCAAGGGAACATTGCACTTCATATCTTCTCGGCTACCGCTCGTAAGACTTATGATTTGGAGTCTCTATGGTCCGTGGGGGCAGAGTATGATGAGCTGAGTCGGAAACCGGAAGATCCTGTTTTGGAAATTCTTCAGAAACATTCTGTCTATTTGAGAGATTTGGAACCAGCTAATAGTGGAGAATAATTGTTGTTTGTTTTTGTTGTTGGGTTGTTTTTTTCAATTGTGTTTATTGTGACAGTGTTATTCTGAAAGTGTTCATTCAGTCCTGAAATTACAAAGCGGAAGATGAGATGATGAAAATCATTTTCTAATTCTCAGAACTCTGTATTGTTATTGGAAAGAAAATGAAAATATTTTTGTAAATTGTGAATATTGTGCAATTATTAATCACCATTAAGATTCTTACTCTTTTTCCACTAATTTCCTCTACAAAAACTATTTTCAAATAGGCTATTCAGAAAGGATGTGTGAATGACAGTTGAATTATTCATTGAAGTACCTATTATGTTCACAAAACCTGTGAAATCGGACAGTTTATTATTATCATTATTACTATTTTTTTCTTTGCCATTGAGATTTGTTTTAAAAGCGTATTTATTAAAATATTTTTAACTTTATATGTTTGTTTTGCTGATTGATATTAATTTTACAATACATACAATGGAGAAGGGATGGGCTATGAAAAATTTAATCACTTGCTTCTCATCCTGTATGTTGGACGAAGAATATCTTAGAATGTCAGTTCGAGTCAGATTGAGAAGTAACTTGGAGCAGGTATTTGTTAATTATTTCTGTATTATCATTACAATTATTACTACTAAAAAACAGTTACATATCAAATACACACAGTTACATTCTTAATTGTTGGTTTAATTTCATTACTTCTTCTTTCTAATTAAACTAATATAATAATAATTTAAATATCTACACATTCAAACTACACTCAGGTAAATAAATGAAAATTAGAGCATCTTCACAACAGAGTGAATTAATAAAATCTAAATGTAGTTTTAATATCATGGTGTTGAAAATTCTGGAAATTAATGAAGAAACTGAGAATTCACCACACAGTCCAGAAATATTGAAAATTGTCAGTAGACATTACTAATTGAGAAACTTATTTCTTACATAATATTGCAATATTTATGTCAACATGAAAGAAAATTTAAAATAAATAATGTATTAATAAAAATTTGCAAGTATTATAAGAATTTGAAGTTCGCAAATTTTAATCAATGAACCGATGAAAATCGAGTCTGTCAGCAAGACGTTCAAATTAAATTACAATTGTACATGAGGAACTATTCAAATCTTTGTTTCTTTTCAATCATTATTATTAGTGTAATTATACAAAGATTGCCAAAAATAATATTCTGTATACAATTCTGAATTTAAAAATATTATCTATAGGTGTTTCATAAACACATTGCTTGTCTTTTTTTTACCACAACTAATTTTTCTATTATTTGGAATTGCATAAATATTTGCCAAATGTTAAAAATGTTGTTATAGTTGTGTATTTATAGTGATTTTTGGTAATCCATTTGCCCTTCTTTCTGTAAACAACACTAGTGCATTAAACACACAAGATTTTCATGAAAATGGATATTATCTGATTGATCTTGCTGATGTGATAAACCCTGGGATTAGAAACAGATATTTAATTTTGGGGGGTTCTTTACATGAAACTTACACCAATGACATTTTCTCAACAATGGCTCCAAATTTTATCTTTACATTTTTTGCCTAATAGCCAAATTGCACATAAAAAATGTTAATTTTCATTAAAACCTCTAAAATTGTGAAAATTGCAAAAGTTAAATCTTTTTTTACCACTCCTATAACTAATTATGAATGTAATCTTGAGAATTTTACAAAAGTTAGTTAACTGGATATTCTCAAAAGTTGCCTCGAATTTTGAGCTCAAATAGAGCAATGTTCTCTTTATTATACGGCATTTGTTCTATTTGAAAACTGAACTGGGATTTTAAACATTGCAAAAGAAAGGTTTTCCCCACCCTCCAACTGCATTATTAAAGATATAGATTTCGTTCTTAAAACAATTTGTTTTCTAATCTTAGATCTTAAATCATTTCAGGTACACTTTTTTCAAAATAAAGTTAGGTAACGTTTAATTTGAGGTTGTATTATGTTGAATTTTTGGAACCTGCCCTATTCCTTCAACATTGAAACTTGGTTAATGCAATCCTATTCTTTGGTATTAGGCCATAAAATAATTATCTTCACACTTTCTGAAAATATTAGTATATTTAAAGTAATTTTGAGTCACATCATTATTAATGTTAAAAAACCACTACGAATAATATGATAAACTATGTGCTGTAGCACCACTAGCGTTAATCTGGCTCTCCTTTTGATTAGAATTTTTCAAGAGATACTTACTAAAGAGTTAGCATGTTAGAAGTTGCACTACTGAAACATTACATAACTGTTTCCATTAATACAAAACAATAGAATGTGCTGTTGGAGTACCATTAGTTCCATAAATTTATGATGGGGGGGGGGGGGATCTGAACTGTAATTAACCCTATCCTGATGTGTACTACTTTCTTTATTCGGCCCTAATATAGAATGATATTTTTAATGACTCCAAAATTTTTCTTTAAATTTCTTGTAATAGAGAGAAACACACTTTTGAAGATGTTGTTAAGTCTGACATTTGCTGTTAACTCTAAATTTTTGATAATTACAAAAAGTTTGAATTTTTTTGGCGTCTTTCTACTACTACAAAATTAAAGATGGAGATTTTTCCTTCAAATCAAATTTATTCTTCATAGGGAGTTCTTTCATGAAGATCATGTACATTTTTTTGGAAAATTGTAGTAGTTTTCGCACAATATTGCGTGTAATATGTGCAATTTTAAAACTTAACAAAAACAATATTTTCTGAAAAACCGATCCAATATTTGTCTTCAAACGTTTGGTGTGGATAGTGCCGTACTCGAAGACGTGAACATTTTGTTGTAGTCTTTTCTGTTTTACGAACTACACAAGTGTAATGTTTTGGACTTGTCTCTCACGTCATTAGTATTTACATTTAGGACAATTTCTTCACATTATAAGGCATTATTCAAAGCTCAAATTTCCACATTTTGAGAAACTCTTTCTTCAAACTTTTTATACGGATAGATTTATATGTATTCTTTAAGATGACATGAAATTCATTTTTACTTTCTCGTATACGTAGGTATATACGTAGTAGAGACAAAGTTATATTAATGCTGCAGAAAATCGATTTCGAGATTTCAACGGAAATACATGTTTTGGGGTTCCCTGTTAAGGAAAAAGTGGTTTCCTTCAAAACGCCCGTCAGAGAACACCACTAGCACCTAAACCATACTTAGGATTTTTTTCAAAATGGATATTCCCCAGTCGATCTGGCGCAATGGAAAGAGAACTGAACTCTTGAATGTCCTTCACACTACCCAACAGCAAAATTTAACTAAAAAATTCGGTGTCATTTTTTTTGAAAATATCCCAGGAGCTTCAAGTATCCAAAATTAAAATATCGATTTCAAATTCAACGGGCCGCGACCTAGATCGATTGGGGAATACCAATTCTGGATAAAATCGGCTGAAAGGGTTGGCTGCTACCGTTATTCAGACACGTTTTGCCGTAAATCGACTTTTCGGTATGAAGAACCCATAAAACATGATTTCTGTTTTCGTGTCGAAAATGTGCTATTTTTCCCACGCAGTATCACATAACTTTCTCTATACTGCGTAAACAGAAAGAAAGTAAAAAATAAATTCCAATCTCCGATACCTGCGTACTATGCAACCTACCAAGATTCATGTCAGGCAGTTTGTGTCGAGGGTATATGGGTATTTAGTTTGTGCAACTGTCGCGTTCATGAGCCTGAGTGTAGCGCTTGTTTTAAGTGGCGCTATGCACCCACGTTGGAACTGGAAATCTGGCACCGACCAACCCGACAGCTTACGGCGTCCCTCCTCCACGTGACAAGCTCCTGACATGAGTGGCTGGGTAGTGCATGTGGTGTGTGTAGGGGAGAGGGGACAGATGAAGAACCGAAGATCGCACGCGTTCGTGGGTCGTCTGTTTGGGAACTGCTCCGGCATTCGCCAGATATTGATCAGAGAAACCAAGCAAAACTACAGAGTGGCTGGCAACTAGAATTCTCCTCTTATCAGTGACTGCCCTAGCTTCGTAGCCAATCAAAAACCGCCCCCGTCCTGAATGATCCCCAGAACTTTCCGGTCCATGGTGCTGCAGAAGCAGGGGATGTTTTTACAGAGCCATCCCAGCCAGTTCCACCTTTCGTACGCAGCCAAAGAACATAACGCGATTCATTCACATGCGAAACAATTGCAAACCCTGTGCGTAAGTATAATTGGTACCACAACTGGGATATTCTTAAGCCTTTCAAATAATTGTGCTAATTATTATTTTCTTTACTGGTTACTATATAACGCGCTATTCATTTTATTTAATGTCAACAAAAAGTTCAAAACTGTTAAAGTTTCCAATATTCAAGTAGCACCTGTGTAAACCTGTCTTTTGTAGGCCGTGGTCCAACGGAGACACAGCCTACAAACCCGGAAACGTCTAATTGTGTAGAAACCGGCCGTGAAAGCCTACATTGTTTGTAAATTATTGTTGTAAATGTGACAATACGTTAATTCTGGAACGCTACTACGAACAGCCAACCACTTGATCTATTACTTTATAATACGCAATGAAAATAAAATATTAGTTTTTAAGTAATTTTGTAAGGTCTTCGGAACTCTAGATATCAAAAAACAGGTTTTTGGATCATCCAAATTTGTTGTTTGACTCAAAAGCTGGGAGGGTCAGAAGAAACCCGGGGTGAAAAACAAAACGCTCCTTTCTTTGTGCGATGGATAAGAAGAGTAGCGTAGTGTAGTTAACATGCAACGTCAACAGCACTAAATTCTATAATAGGCATTTAATATTACTTTAGCTTTTCGGGAATTGGATAAAAATCATTCTGGTCATCCATATTTGCATTTCGAAAATGTAGACCTGCCATAAATTTAAGCCAACAGAAAATCAAAATCTTCTGGCTACAGGGAAGAAACCTCCGTCATTGGCAAACGAATTTTCATCATCAAAACATCGAAACCGACCTCGGTGCTCTTTGCGTCTGTGGTAACAACCGCACTGCATTTTAATTACGGGATCGAATGTGACAAGCATGGGTAGTTTCATTTGACGGTTATGGCACATTCGGCAAAAGTAAACAAACACAAACAGCCTGTATTGTTAGGTTTCAAGCGAAGTGATGGTGATTGTAACTTTCACGTCTTACTTCATTAGAAGAGAAAGTACTGTAATCGTGCTCTGGAAAACGGCGATTTTTTTTTCAGAAAAACTCTTATTGCTGTGGCCTGACAACAAAAGAGTGTATAAATCCTGTTTAGAGATAAAATACATTATTTACTCTAATTCGCTGCATAGTCAGAATCGTGATTTTGGGAACAATTTTGGGAAAATTGATACTGAAAAATTGATTGATAGCAAAACATCTGTCGGTGTCGATCCTTCTGTCTTTCCGGTGAATGCCATTTCCTAAATTTTTCAGTCGATTTAATGGAACTCGTGGCCGTTCAAGTTTGAAACGGATATTTTGATTTTTATTTTCTGAAGTACATTACATATAGCCTCAGCACTTTCTAAAAAAAAAATTAAAGAAAAGACTCCAACTTTTTAAAATTAACCTTTGTTCTCGTATAAGAACAAATGGTAGAGAAAGCTTAAAATAATGGCGCTGATCTCATTTTCATTGAAATCCGGTTTTTCGAAAATGTCAAAGGTTCGATTTTTTCATCTTTTTCCGACAACTACAATATCGCAAAGACAGATTTTTCTTGAACGAAATCTCTTCTTCATAGACAGATCTTGTAATTACATCACATACAGTTTTTCGAAATATGAAGTTTTCTCATAATTTTGCGTTAAATATAGGCATTTTTTAAAGAATTATTTTCTCAAAACCGTCTCCAAGTATTCTTTTTTTAAAATTTTCTCCTCGTATGTATCAAATAATGGTAAAAAAAAGTGGCACTAGTCCCATTTCCGGCGCACTCTATGTTTTCAAAAATTGCTAAAGGTTAATATTGTAGAAAGCGATTTTTGACATAAATTAAATCTGTTCGAAAATTATCTTATCTTTAGAAAATCTCTCATGAGATTTTTTGAGAATCTGTATTTATCGCATAATTTCTGCTTGAAGTTGTAACAAATTATAAGAAAACATTTTCTCAAAACACACTCAATTTTTTTCTTTAACTTTTTCCGCAGATGTAACAAAGACGCATAAGAGAGTGGCGCATGACTAATTTCATCAAACACTTTGAATTTTAAAAAATGGCAACAAAAAATAATGCGAGAAAGTATGTGCTGTTGGCCCACTGGGTGAATTCTTCTACTATAGTAGCGCTCCAAGCGGTAACTTCCAAACAGTACAAGTGCGTACTTTCCCGCACGTCATCAAGAGGCGCTGTGCGCTATCCGAACAATATTGAATTAATATGGTCCGTATACGAGAATTATCACGAGTCAATTGCACGACATGCCCAGCAGCACTAACGCATTTTAGTCGGTACGGTTCGGAATGTAATATTCATTCTTTGAGCACAATTCATTCTCTTTGGGCTGAAACGTATTGATTAATGCGCTGAATGTATTGATTCGAACAGTACGTGGTTTTCACCAAGGAAAATAGTTTTGTTGAAATACAGAAGAAAGATTGAGTTTTCTTCTGAAAAATTAAAAATTACAGAGTGCGCAACATTGTATGATTGACATTGGAAATAATTTGGTCGACAGTTTATGAATAAGAAAAAGTACTGAAATTATTTGTTAGGGAGCATTGAATAGAAGTGTGTGATTTGTTGAATTGCGATCGAAATGGATGATTTTCATGAAATTGATATCAGTATAGAGGAGGTAAGTTTGAATATTTCACGTTAAATGTAATACAATCGACTATTAACTAGGTCACACTCCACCAATGAAGAAATACTGTGTATATTAGGACGAAAGCGTTTTTATACATTTTGTATTGTTCACAGATGCTTTCGGAAAGACGGGATGAAAATGAAGTCAATTTTGTATGGGATATTCCTGTAAGTCATTAGTTAAATTCATGTCCTAGTACTCAGATTTGTATATTTAATTGTGAAATAGTTTGCATGTCGCCATGTGGTGTTTTGTTTTATATGCATTCGTGCTGATTTTGTGTCTTCTTTCCATATTAATGTACAGAGATTACAAAAAAGATATCTCTAAATACAAATATGTATATTATTGCACAATGCTTGATAATATAATTAGAGTTACAAACGTTTACTACAGTCTCTAATTACCTATTTTAATGTTGCCGTCGTGAATTCATTCTAAACGTTGAGATGAAAGCGAATTGGGTTGCAAAGAATTTTGGGATGAAATTAGAAGTAACTAAATCAGATCAACAATTAAAGTGACAAAGTATAACATCCATTACTCTTAAGCTGTTCTGTGCTCAATGCCGCGTGTTCTCTCCCGGACTCGACGAACGGCGTGACCTAATCAAAGTCCTTGTTATAATTTTTCCTACTTAGATCGATTGTTTCACACAGTTCATAAACGATTGCTCCAATTTTCATTGCGTGAATATGCGAAACTCTCATTGCGTCTCGGAGGATTGAATTTTTTAAATTCATTATTTTTAATACTTTTAAATAATTTTAATTAAGGAAAAAATATTTTAAACATTGTATTTCGTGTTCAATATCATAAAATATGGTATTCAGTGGCTCAGCGAGACAAAATGAAAATGCGTAGAGCGTGACAGAATGGTATGAAGTTTTCGAGGAGGTGATTATTATCGATACCCCCAAATCGGGATACCCCGCTTGAAACCCCTTTAAATGTCTCTCAATCTCATTGTCTCCCATTCTCATAGACATACCTAACAATCAATATCATTTGGGTCTTACCCCTTGGAACGAATCTACTTGAACGTCGCGAGATCGGTGAACGAAAGCGAAGAACGAGGGCACTTTGTTTCATAGTTCAAATGAGATTCGCGCGTTGTAATTAATTAAAACGTATTCTGACATAAAATACTTTGGAAAGTATGCGTTTAAGGGTATTTTTAGGGATGTTTTGTGTTAATCGCGTATGCCGAAGGTCGGAGCCTTGCCACGAAATTGGCCATGCATAGCAAAGCGTCAACTCACCTTGAAAGTTTGAAGTTATAATTGCGACGTCATTTCGTTCGCGGGCCCATGATACCGTTCGGTACGATCTCAATGGAAGAGATCTGATTCATTCATATTCGTTACAAGGTTGAAGATACTATTATTAATTAAAGAATTGGATGAAAATCTCAAAAAATGCTTTATTTAAAAATGTTGAAGTATAATATAATCACTTTCGTAGTATATGCTAATTGGCGACTCAGTGGGGCGAGAAACACATGTCTGTCTCCGCGGTTGCAGTGAACCGTCACGTGTGTTCGTTCATTGTTTCCTTAAGCAACATTAAACCCTTAAGACCCGTTATTTGGTTTATTTCTAGTACGATCAGCGCAACGACTTCTGTGTTTACCTCAGGAAACAAACTTAGAATTGAAGAATATTTCGTTTAGAGGTGTATAAAATATGCGAATATACGCGTGCGTGTGTGTGCTGGGGCCCCTCTAGAGAGTGTAATGCTCCCTCCCCTGCTGGAAAATAATAAATTTATTTTTGTCAGAAAACAATTAATACACTTTAGGTACCTCGTTTATAACTTCCACTGTTCGAAATATTCAAATCAAGGGATGCATTGCACGAAAACCTGGCAAGAAAACATTGTCGAGACAAATTTTATAATTCATACAGAGCGTTGCGTACCATGTTCTTTGTTTCAGTAATCAATTCTTAAATTTGTTCCCCTAGGAGAAAAGGTCCTTTAAATTTCCTGACCCTTTTCTTGAATAGGAAGGCAGGGTCTACTTTGCATTCCTTCAACCTACACCACTGATTTTTTATAAGTTCCATAGTTTACTCGGAACTGCAACGCACTGCGACAAAAGCGTTTGGTATCCAAATCCAAGTCAGCGGGGCTGTCCAGCGAGCGCTGCACTTACGCGCCTAATGACCTTACCAGTTGGCCAGCCCGGAGACACTAACCAATCAATGAATCCAAAAGCTTGTTGAAAAAACATGTATATGAGACGTGCAATGTGATATGTATTACAGGGGAAATTTTAACAGCATAGCCTCATATTGGAAGGAATATTTAATCCCTGTTAATACTGGCAGCGCGTCAAAAGATTCAATATTCTTCTTGTGCTTTTTCGTAATCTTGCGGAAGTCTGATCGGAAGCCAGAGGACACGGATGGGTCTCGTGCGTGGTCAGTCAACCGCCTTGGCCCGAAGACGGGCATACGGACAGGATGGGGAAGCTGTTTGCAAGCTTCCCCTGACCTCTGAAATATTTGCGTCGCATTCTGCAGGAAATGAAGCAACTACGTAAAAGATCGAGAAGTTTCATTCACACGAAAGTAGACAGAATGCTATCCATAGCTTTATGAAACAAAAAAGAAAATGCTTGTTTTAGGAGACTGCAATTATTAATGGATTAACATAAAATATGTTATTTATGTTAAAATATGAAGAGCAGACTAAATTACATACAATTTCATTTTTCATAAATGCACATGTAAATCGATGGATAAACGTCAAAGACACTTGGAGAAATGATAAACGTCGTTCAATTCAATAATGTAAATCCGGACTGCTCTAATACAATTTAAGTATAATATTACATGTTAAGGCATTGAACTCTTGAATGCTTTATCGTATTACTTCCCGTCACTTGCATTCTTAAGTACATAAATACGGCCTGTGTCACATCCATTTTGAAGATAGATACTTTTATCCTTTCATCAACAAAATGCATTGTGTGTTGGTCCAGTAGTTGAGGATGAAAACAAAACAACCACAAAAGTTTCCCAATAAAATCATAATCATTCTTCCTCCGCGTTCCCTTGTTCTCCGGGTTAGCCGAACCAATCATTAGAAAAAACAACAACAAAATAATCCATTGAAAACCAAAGCACCGGAATGTATATGTTGATGATAAAGTTCGAATTTGGCTAATTGGCGAATAACTTGGTTAATGTTCACACCATCCAAAACGGGTGAATATAGCTCTAAATTCAGACTGCTAAAAAAAGAGCTTTGAACTTCAGTCGGGAGGAAGCTGACTTTCGCCAACAAGAGATGAATATGTTGTGAGAAATTCTTTACAATTGGGAGAAATAACAGATACTATGTGATAAACAGGGATCAGGCGGCTGGTGGGAGGTTTCTAAGACTAGTGAGAGACAAAGAGAGTAGCCTCGAGTTAAATGTCTATTTACGCGAAACTACTTAACCTCAGTTGAGTACCTCAGTTGATTTTCAACATGGCATTTTCGAAAGCTCGTCCTTCGGGAGACACATAAAACTATCTTGTCTGTGCAATGCATATTACCCAAAGCATTTTATGCTAAAATACTTCTTGCGAATGCACAATATACCTCAAACTCAAACAATCATCTTACTTCAGCCACCGCTCTGTGACTGTCAGCAACATTAGCCCGACAATGTCCGAAATTATCCGTTTCTTGTAATTCATGTAGCTTTATCCACAAATCTGGCCAATATAGTACGAATTATCAGGTTTCTACGAACATTAACCATATTTCGGACATTAGTTGCAAGATATACATTACTTGATGAGTCATTGGCGAGCGTTGGGAGATGCCGCCACTTATTCTGGGAATATTGAGTCCTACCGAAATTGATGAACATCAGATTCTTGAATAAATATAGATTGTCCTTTGTCATTGCCATAGTTTTATATGTATCTCTGTGACAGGGGAGAACATTCATCTATTCAGAATGACGGAGAATATAAATATCACAAACTTGTAGAGCGTGGGTGGCAGGGGTCGGAGATGATCAATTGTCGCTAACGAACATGTGGGAAGGCGGATTTTAAAAGAGCGGAGTGACGGGTGTAACATTCGCTTCTGAGGCAATGCACTGGTGTTCGGCGGGTCTCGTTCGGCCATCAAAGAGATTTCAAGTATGTGTCAAACACCAAAGTAAGTTGCTTACCAGTCATGGGCTTCTTGATCTGTGTTATGTAATTTGTATTTTGATTTTTAAAATGAATTCCAGATTAATCGGCTTTCCGAGTCCAGGGTACTCGGTGCCGATATTGATGGATAGTCTATCTTCACATTTTCATACGCCTTTGTGTAAACGGAACCAGGAGCTTCAATACTGATTCTATATTACAACAATTTCTTGATTTGGTAGCCTGTTTAATTTTGTGACTTTGAATACCTTTGATTTGAACTATCATGTTTCTTGCAGGAAAACCACGATCCAGTAATTTCCTGCTTGGATTTGAGTGAAGAGGTAATCATCGAGTTAAAAGTTATTGATGTTTTTATTTTGCTTTATATTTCAAAATAATTCGCGTCTTTAAAACCATTAAGAAATAATAAATTCCATGAAAGTAAATATGTCCGAGTGTAGTTAACAAAGTTCACTACATATCCCTATTTATTTACATTTTTTCTTGAGTTCATATCGTTATAGATAGCATTTTATCGTTATAGATATTAATTTATCTTTCAATTTTATGTTTCTACATATTAGCATGTGTTAATTACTATGTTTTAATTCATATTGCATGAAAGGGATTGCAGAAACTACTCACCATGAAATCCTCTTTCCCTTGGAAAAGCTAGGTAAAAATTGCACTTTTTCATTCATTCATTTTTCTATTTATTTGATTTATGTTTGTGTGTACATTGATTAGTCTACCAATCAATGAAATCATATGCATCTCTCATAATATTATTCTCAAGTCAGACTCAATTAAACAAAAAAGTACATTTTTTACAAACTGTTCAAAAAGTGGTAACATTGCCACAGTTCAACAATCCCTGTCAACTTTGATTCAATTATTTTTTTATGAGATCAATTTCGAGATTAAATTTATTTTTAATTAATTTAAATGATCTACTGCCTGAATAATGAGGAGACTTGAAATGCAATTTATTTTGCCTGATGGCACGAAGTTTCTATTCTAAAAAGATGGGATATGCAAATGAGTAACTAATGGTGTCTGACTATAGAACGGATCAGCTTAATTATTGGTGAACGCGAAACTCTAATAGGCTAATATTGTTTTAGATATGTTTGTTAGCATTTCCGGTAGAGCATGTAACCCTCCTTGCATAAGCGTCTCACAGGTTGCCTACGTAGAAGTTGCAAGTGAAGGGCATCGATGCACCTATGCGAGAGCGATTACTTAAAATTTAACTAGTGGTGCTACAGAATGGCACAGACATTGCCCTATTAGTTTTCTATTTCCTTTGGTCTCGGCTAGCTATTCAGACTTGCCACATTCTCTGGCCAGCTGCCATCTATCGCCGCCCAAAGGACGCTTTTTAAAAATTTTCTTAATTTTTCGGTTTCCTAATAGAAGAGAAATATTATTTTAAAAATATTAAACAACAGTAAGTAATGGTTCTAATTGGCCATTTTCTTTGAAAAATTTGGAGCCCTTTTTAAGAAAACGGCGTTCAAGCGCTATTGTAGCGCTACTTCGAAATTTGAAGCTCTTTACAGAAAATGTTTTAGTTTTCGAAAAGCTTCACTAGAAGTCATTTGAAGCACTTTAACTCACAAATACAATAGTGTTTACAAATTGCAGGAGATATGTTTATTAACGGCGTGAGAGATCTAAAAAAACATACATTTGTGGGCTTTTCGAGAATTTTTATATTTTATTTTTTTTATTATTTCAAACACATGTACTCATAAATATAATAATGTGAGAAAATTGCCGCTAATATAAATATTAACTTCGTGGGAGACAATTTAAAAATTCCATTTTGGTAATTAAAAAATCATAGTGCAATATGGCGTCTATGACATCTCAGTGTATAATTAGCACTAATCCTACTAAAAGTTTAAAGAAAAAATCTAATGAGAAATTCTTGTTTTTGTAATTTAAAAAATGCACATATTTATCGTATTATTGCGCGAAAACTAATACATTTAAAAAAATGTATACGACCTTAATGAAAGAACTCACTACAGAGAACAAATTTTATCTGAAGGGAAATCTCAATCTTCAATTTTGTAGTTGTTAAAAGACGCCCGAAAAAACCGAAATTTTATAAAAAATAGAGTTAAACCTGAAAATCGGAACTAAGTCACCTTTATAAGTGTATTTTACTCTATTTTTACAGGAAATTTAACGAAAAAATTGGAACCGTTTTCGAGAAAAATTTGAAAATATCCGTGAGTCTTCAAGTAAAGTACCACCAAATTTTAGAGATTTTTTTCATAGTGTCAAAACGTCGACTCTAGGCAGATCGGCATGGGTTTCTTCAATTTGGAAAAAGTCATACGTACGGTTTAGGCGCTATTAGTGTGCACGTATGAACGGGCAGACGAATGTTTTGAAAAAAAGACAACTTTTTTGGAAGCAGGGGATCCCCAAAACGAGTATTTCCTTGAAATATCGAAATCGATTTTTCCGCAGCATTACATAACTTTCCTTGTACTACGTATAATACTCCGCATGTACGTACGTATACGGGAAAGTAAAAGTACAACAGAAAGCAACCTACAAATGTTGACAGATAAATCATCTTTAAAGTTTATAGGAGAACTTGTGAGTGAAAGAAAGACTCAAATTTTGAGGTACTACAGGGTTTATCTTTTGATGTTATGAGAAAGACTTTTTATTTGCAGAACCTGATGGCAGAGTTTGAACGCCCAGCATTGGACACTGTGAATTTGGAGGTGAGAGTTATGTTAAATTAATTAATATATTTGGCATATTTTGAAATAATGCAAATTATCAATCAAAATTAACTTAAAACTGTTTGTATATAATTTATAATACTTGCGGTGACGGGTGCCTATATATGCTTTAATGGATATTCTTTTTGGTTCTCAATTATTTGAAAATACCTTCTAATAAAATTGATATCTAATCAAATATTTTATAAAATATCATATTCTGTAAGTTAAAATTGAAGATTAGTTAATATTGTAAGAAAAACAATAAGAGAGAAAAAAATGTATTGAACTGACACTTCAAGCGATACTCTAAGCAAATTGTTATGTTACTATTCACTCCAATTAAATAGGAAACTTTTCACAATATTTTGTTTAAATTTTCTTTTGATACTGTATTCTGTAAAGAGTTTGCAAAAATATCATATTTTATATTAAAAGTGTGAGCTACTACAGAACAAAGATATTTTAATGTCACAAAACTCCATAAGTGCTGAAAATAAAGTTATGAAGTCACACTGAAAATTATTGTTATTAAAACTTGGAGTTAACCAAGTTTGTTTCCTATATGTTCACAAAGAGTAGTACTTCACAATTTTTTAAAAATATTAAGGATACCAGTTAGTCTGCTTGGTTTTCATTTTTAATATTTTAACACCAATGTCTCATCAGCTTCCAATTTACATTTAGCATTTCAAATTATGTCCATAGATTCCTTTAGAGACAACTCACCAAATTCGAGATATATGATTGGCAGTCCAGTTGAAATTAATTGTCAACGTATACAATGTCACAAGCAACTCCGGGATTTGAATGCTTTGGGCTTGAGCCATCATCATTGAAGACCCAGCTGGAGATGAATTGACATCTTATAATGTGCTGTAACAGTGACTGGGAATCTTTTTGAGTCCCTTTACATGTTAGTTGAGGATCAGGAGGAAGTGCATCAGCAGGTAATAGTTCTCTGATAGATTGCACGGAGTGGAGCTTTCACAAACAGTTTCTTTGTGCATGCAAGTATGTTTTGTTTAGGAAAATTGTTACGTAACTGATTACCATATTCTGAAGATTAAGTCACAAAGGCAAATATTTATATTTTGAATAAAATATCTGGACAGAATATAGAGGATACTCTCGTTTGTGCACGGCTTGTTTAGGTAAAAATGTTGGTAGATACATTCCAGTAATAAAAATTAGTGAGTATTCTGCAGAAATTGTTCTATTCTTTTTGAAAACTCTACTCGAAAAAACTGAATAAATTTCAAATTGGTTATGTAGTGTAGAACACTTGACTTAGAATGTCACACTGGATTGAAAACATTTTTAAATGGCAGAACACGCAAATTTTTCGTTTGCCAGAGATGCACTTCTGTCTCACTTGCGCATTTTCCTTTCGGCACCCCCACATGGGAGATGACAAGGACAATTTCAGAAAAAATTAAGAGGGCCATTTTATAAAATTAAAGAAAACACTTTTTTAAAAGTTAAAAAACTGATAAACTCAATATCACTATTAAATATAACTTTTAATATTAATATATTCATAAAAAATGTTAATTTTATAAAGAAACCGTTAACTTTACAATCTCTTCCGTAAATTGTTCAATTTCTCGGGAGAAATGTTCTCGAATGTAGACCCTATCACATATAGGCCCCCTCAGTTTTTGAATGAAAATTTCAGATAACTTTGAATGTCATTCATTTGCTGCAATTTGCATTGCCAGAGAGTCGGAGAAAATTGCATACGAGATGTCGAAAATTAAAATATCTATCAATTAGTAAGATTGTTTGAGAAATTAAAGATAATTTTTGAAAAATTATTTCGCTTCATTTGGAGATAATCACGTACCATTCTTCTTCCATTTTTGTCGCCAATTTTTAGAAAAAGGGGGCTTATATTTGAAAAGTCGGTAGCTTGAATTTAAACTCGATTTTAACGTTGAAAACAATAAAATTGAAAAGTACTTGATTTAAAAGCCTAATCGCAATTAGTCGCATCTGTTGATAATAAATTCACTCAAAAGCTATAACTTTGAAGCAAACATATAAAAATTCAAAAATTAATTGTTTCAATAAATTTGTATACTTAAAAATGTGCATGACCCCCTCACCTCATTGATTCGAATTATGAAGTTAGCTTGGGCGTCGATTAGAGCCCGCTAGTCGAAGAGCCGCAAAAGCACAGTTCCCAAACAGACCTCCCGCGCAGTGCCACAAGTTCGCTAAATGCGCCCACTTCATTGCGGACTGGAAATATCTCCGCTTTGGCTTCTTTATGCTCGGCGTGGCTCTCGACAGGCGCAGTCCCAAGAGAAGAGAAGGGTCAGTGTCTGGAGGAGAGCACGAGTGCCGTTTTGATGCCGCTGGTCTCGAGGGTTGCAGTCTCTAATAATCGCGGGAGACTGAACCTCGCAATGATTTGACGCAGCGAATGAAGCAAGTTCGCCGTTTTGTGAAATAGTGGCGATTTTTAACATGGCTGAATTGAAAATAGGCGTTGTTTTCTCTTCTGTGTTCCCTCTTTCTGCGTGTTCAAAGACGCACGGCTTTAACCCAGAAGCGTTTGGTATTTTGCGGTAGTATTCGAGGCGATAATTGCCGTCCGCCGTCACTACATTTGTCTGATTAATTGGCACCTGCACATCCGCACGTCGCAGTTAGAGAGGGAACACATATTAACAGACTATCATGTCCGGCCATCCATTCATTTGGATTTGCCGGGCATAAAGATGCGGATTTGCGTTCTGCACGTGAAAGCGGAAGCACGAAACATTCACAGAAATAGAATCTATAAGAGACACTGTAGCGGCCAACGTTGAGTACGAGACGATTGAGTACTAGCTAATAGCATTTCACACTCAATCTTACTCAAGGGAAAATAATTTCTACTTCAAATTTGAACATGATTAAAGAAAACAAAAAAAATCGAACTCATTGTTGATACTGAAAAACGCCTCAGAGCGATGGAAACGCATGTTAATGCTAATTAGAATGCATTAAAACTACCTCTCAATTCCTCTTGTGACATTGGAAAATTGAATGATTTATGAAACTGTAGATGATGTAGATTTTTATTTCGTTCTTTTTCAATCGAATTGTCTTAAGTAAGACATTTATTCATAGGCGTGCGCAGTGTAATACAATAGAAGGCAAACAACATTTCTGAGGCAACTCACAAAATTTTCAGACTTTTTTAATGTGTTTTGGACGATAGTAGGAGGATAGTAGGAAGGATTGACTCCGACTAACCTCATTTTTGGAAATTTTTATAACATTTTTCGACCCTTTAACTGTTTTCGGGCGGTCTTGCATTTTTTTCGTGAATTTTTAATAATTTCAATGGAGTCTTTGGCCACTTTTCAAGGGTGGGTTCGAAATTTCTTCACACTTTTGCCCCTGACAAGTCCGTTACACTGTAGGTACACCTTATACAACTTACATTTTTTAATAGTTTTGGGAAAGAAAGAATTTTTCACATATTTAATACCATATTTTTTGTGTAATACATTTAATAGGATTGTTTAACGGTTATAAAATGACGAGTCAAAACGCGATCAATGTAACAATTTCGAGAGCTGAAATTGACTCTTGACAAACTACTCGCAAATTACATATGTCCAGATACAGTTTCAGGTAACACTGTTTCAAAAAAACTCTAAATAATAGAAAATATGAAATATATTAAAAATGTGTAAATTTTTTTAACTTTTGGCAAATATCTACCAGTTTTTCAAAAAAATAGAAAGGCCTTCATAAATAAATAAAAAATATTGTTAATTACTGAAAAATAGCTTATCAACGAGTTCATGAAAACAGCAAGAGTGTTGACTTTTGCCATTAAGTGAAATGTTCAAAATTTTCAATTTTTTTATTCAGTATTCAATAAGGCAATAATACTTTAACACATTTTGTAACAATGCACGATCAAACTAACGTGTCCACGCATTTCTCATCTCTGTACAATTTAAACTGTACCCATACCTTCCAAACATACTTTTTATCAGGAATTCAATATATTCACGATTTTTTTATTACACGAGACTGTGGGATCCCATTCAAAATTTTCAGGGGAAGCCCTCCGCCCCCACGCGCACGCCTATGCTTATCCCTTTATTCTACTTCAAACAGGGCAGATCATTCACTACGAACGCTCTTCTAACCTAAAACTACGTAATTACATATGAATGATCTACGAACCTAGAGAGAATATGGACCCTACCAGTAGTTTATTTATGTTGTGGTTTGTTTCGTTATTAGTGTAAATACTTTAGAGTTGTTTGTCTTTAAAACTGTGACTCCCACTCTACTGAGTTCTATTAACCAAACGAATTTGTTGCAGTAGGCGTTATCGCAGTGGACTAGCATTTCCTTGCATGTAGGATATTCTGCGACCACCTAGTTCGGGGGAAAACGTTAATATGATTTTATTTGTTTTGTCACAGGATATTCAACCGATGAATGAAAAGAGCAGTCCAATTGATCTAATGGATTCAGATAATGAATTCTTCTTGCCAGGTAAGCATCAACAACGAGTATATAAGACTATAACATTTTTAGAACTGTCAAAGTCGTCAGAAAAATAAGTTCAAATATTACTTTCTTCGCGTGCGGTTGTGAGGCGATAGAGGAAATAAAATGTAACTAACATTCGATAAGATTATTGATTGTATAGGCACCAGTGACGCTTATTGCCCTCAAAAGTTGGTGGTTCAGAAAACGATGTTATTGCGATGGACGGAGTATTCAGAGGGTGATAGTGACATCAACCGAATTTTGACGACTTAGAAATACATTGTACATATGTATTTCGCGTGCTGATTTTTCTTCAAAACATTCCCATTCAAACAACACTTTGGTTTGAAAATCTTCCTGTCAGAAGCCCAGATCGTCAATTAGAAGCCAAAAGGTCTGCGGTTAAAATTTTTTTCGAGCCTCACTTTCTAGAACGGCTTTACCCGTGTGCTCTTCCGAGGCGGCTCGTGACCGAAAACACCGTAGGATATGAACTATTTTAGTACATTTCATTCATAATACGATTTAAATAATTCTTACAGTTTTTGTAAGTAGTTTTCACATGGAAATATAAAGTTGATATTTCCTATTCATGGTACACAGCTTTCACATTGCTTCTAAAATCTCACTACTTCTCGTAGTGGGTACATTTCATATTACCTTCTTTCAACTAATAAAGTACAAAGCTCAAATTGCAATGTTTTTGCTCATGTCAAATTTTCTTTGCAGTATAATGAACGAATACGGAAAACGTGTATTATTAATTATTCCAAAAAGTTGGCAATGACTTTACGCCGGATTTGAACACAACGGCTTGGATCATTCATGTTCCATGTCACGTTCATTCCTGCTCTCTAGAGATTTCAAACTCCGAGGGTACAATTTCTGAAGCACTCATTGCAATGAATCCAGGCGTGTATATGATGTCAGAATTTTAGCTATTATTCGGTTCTTGTACATGCGTCAGATCTAAACTGTTCACTGTGCCGATAAGAAAGATATTCGCATTATCGCCGTCCGTGACTAACTGGCCAGCAGATATATCTTACGATTTCCAAGATAACGTCACAAGTTAAAAAGGATATTTCAATTTCTGGGTGAATTAAAACAGTTCAATAAAATATTTTAAAAGTTAAACAGAAGATGTGAGTTGCAGAAACTGTAGCGAGTTAAGGAGATCCGCCGTCTGAGCTCTTCAGTTAATTCGAGCCCAAGGCGGTAGGAACCTGAGAATTGCAGAGCCTGGCCACTTCCCGTGCTCTTTGGGGGTTAAGGACGATGGGAAGCACAACGCCCACGCGAGTCGAGTACCGACCCGCGTCCAGAACGATTATTACATGACATTAGAGACTTTTTGATCAGCAAGCGCCTTAGCTTATACCACTTTTGAAGCTTTGCGCATGCGCCAACTCGATCTCGAAGAGATAGCGGAGCGTGCTACTCCGCCGGGTTAGCGGGCGACTTTCATCGCAGGCTAATCGATCATTCACCATGCTATGTCGAATTGCATGCGACTTATATTGCATGATAATTTGAATGCTAAGTATATCGACTTTGGCAGTTAGTGCTGCCAACTGCACACAAAGACGTTGACAACGCTCTTAAGAAAAGCCACTTTACTGCCTTTCTACAAACTAGACATCACCAAGAATGTTCTCCACAGTCCACCCCTCCACAAAAGACGTTTTCCACACTCTTTTGACGTCTAAAATCTTCCTCCGCCCAGCACCTCATAGCACTACCCACCCACCGACATCGGTCAAAAAAAATTTCACTTCAAATTTTACCTTACAAAAACAACCTTCATAAATTCTTTCTATAAATTCCCCCTTTTTCTTCCCTTCTCTCCGAACAAAGTCACGTACGGGGTAGCGAGAGATTCCTTCCCGCCTCTCACTTCCCTTTCCGTTTGTTACACACTAGCGTCATTCACCCAAACTGGGAAGAGCAAAATCGCAGGTCTAGAAGGATGTCCAACAGCCTTGAGAACGATTAGAAAATATGTGCCCATTGTTGGCAGCGCCCATCGCTGCATGCGCACTTTTTTGACAGAGTTCATCGACTAAGATGTGTTGAAAGAGACAGAAGTGCGATATAATATTATTACATAACTGTTACTAAGGAGTTAGAAAGTATGTGCTGTTTTAGCACCACTAGTTTCCTTAATAAAATATTTTCTTTAAAGAAAAATCATTAAATAATGCCATGTACAAATTTTCGAAAATATGAGTAGTTTACGCGTAATTGCGTTAAATATAGGCCTTTTCTATTTTTTAAAACAGCTCCAATATTTTTCTTCTTCGTGTATATCAAAGGATGGTAAAAAGTGGGTGTTGTCTCATTTATAGCAAACTTATTTTGGAAAATCGCAAAATTTTAACCTTTAAAAATTACCAAACTCAAGACACATATTTGCATCAAGGTAAAAAGGTTCTAAAAAAATAATTGTTTAACAAAGTTTACGTACATTGTTTGATAAAACGAATAGTGTTTGCGTAATTTGTGATCGAAATACATAGGCCTAATATAAAACATTTTCTCAAAACCTGCACCAAATTGTATCTTCAATTTTTACACAGAACAAGGGACGCTTCAAGAATGTCGCAGGTCTCATTTCCGTTGAACTCTCTGAATTTTCGAAAATTGCGAATATTGAAATAACGGAACAAAGTATGGGCTGTTGTAGCATCACTAGTTTTTCGTTGCATTAACATGTGGGCAATACCACCATCCATGAGGGACTCTCCGAAAAAAATATAAAATACTTGAAAATATATTAAACAAATATTTTTATCTCTAAATACATCCATTTTCATTTGTACAGAAGTTATTCTAATTGATGTTGTTTTATCAGTAAATCTGAAAGAACGTTTCACGGGAAGAATGCTCTTAATGTGTAACTTATGTGTAATGAGTAATTCTTTGTAAACTCGGGAATTACCGCACAAATCTTGCAGAAATCCATATGGAAAGGGTTAACAGAAATAATATTTCGTAATAAAAATGTATTTCGCACTAAATTCAGATGTTACTCGTACATTGTAGCATTCCACGTGGTACAAAACATGGCTGTTCTACACGCACCGTTCCGGCGCCGGAGCACAAAATGGCGCCGGCAATGGTGGATGTGTACCAGCCTTGTTTTGTAATACGTTTCTTGGGGAGCACTGAAGATGAGGTTAAATTACCCAAAATGGAATGCAAGATCTGAATTTAGTTTAAGATATTAATTGAATGTAAGAAGTGGAGTTGGTGTAAGATGAGCATGTAGCGTTTAACAATGATTTATTTGTGCGTTGCGCAGGCGAGCGCGAGAGCCTGTGCGCGCCGCTGTGCGATCCGGCCGAGGACGAGGAGGAGGAGGAGGCGGCGGCGAAGGAGAAGGCGGAGGCGGAGGCGGAGCGGGAGCGGGCGTGCAACGCGTGCGGGCGCGTGTTCCCGACGCGGGCGCGCCTGGAGGCGCACGCGCGCAAGCACCGGCGCGAGCGGCCGTTCGCGTGCGCGCGCTGCGGCAGCCGCTTCGCGCGCAAGGAGATCCTGCAGCGGCACGAGCGCACGCACACGGGCGAGCGGCCCTTCAAGTGCGCGGCGTGCGGCAAGGCGTTCGCGCAGCAGGGCAGCGTGGCGCGCCACGCGCGCACGCACGCGCCCGCCGCCGACAAGCGCCACCAGTGCCTGCAGTGCGGCAAGCGCTTCACCGAGCGCAAGAACCTGGCGCAGCACCTGCGCATGCACCTGGGCTTCAAGCCCTTCGCCTGCCACCTCTGCCCCAAGACCTTCGCCGAGAAGAAGTACCTCTCGCAGCACGTGCTCACGCACACCAACCACAAGCCCTTCCGCTGCACCAAGTGCTGCAAGTGCTTCTCCGAGCGCAGGTACCTGGACGCCCACCTCTACAAGTACCACACGCACGAGTGCCTGCTGTGCGACAAGCGCTTCGAGGACAAGGAGGTGCTCGAGGCGCACATCCGCAGCCACATCGACGAGCGCCCCAGCCCGCGGAAGGCCAAAGCCAAGGCCGCGCCTGCCTCCGCGCCGCGCTAATTTCTCCCTGCCAACGTTACGAATTACGGTAGACTCGCGATTATCTCGAAAACTATGCAGTAATCTTTAAAACTCGGAACCCATAAGAGCAGAACTCGATGCCGAGGTACTAGCAAACGGCATGCGCGCTGGACGACGTCATCGATTCTACGAATAACGATATTCCCCGCTTTCGATATGCATTGGATTCGCTCGCCAAACGTTGGTTATGGTTTGCCATTGCCACTCTTAATATTAGTTGTCCCTTCGTGACTTCGTAAATGCGTTCGTTCATTTATAGAAAAATTACTAAATGAATTCCATATTATCCTTAAGTTTTTTCATAGCCGAGACGGAGGGGGTTAAAGTCTCAATTAATAATACCAGAGATCATGAGTCTACTTGAATATTTTAGAATCACTAAGGTTTCCATCGAACATTTTCGAAATTTCATTACTCTCGGAAGATTTCTCCAGAGAAACTAGCATTATTATGTACTGAAAATATTTTTGAATGATCTAAGCACAAATAAGCTAGGTTATATCATAGACGAATACTATTCTTCTATGATTCAATTCTACAAAGAATGACGCAACTTTTTAGTTTTATTTCGAAGAGTATAGGAGGGTGTTGATACTCTGCTTTACTTAGGCTTTCAATTCTTTTACGAAGCCAACCTGCTCAAATGACTAATACACGTTCTGAAAACTAATCTCAGATACAGTTTAGATCAGGGATGTCCAACTGGCGGCCCGTGGTGTCATTTACTGTGGCCCACGAAGGTTTACTAGTCAAAAGTGAAAGTATCTTTCATCCATGTCGGGCGAGACAATTTTCGCCTAGCGTGCGCGCCCTGCCTGTGTCAACTCCCCGGCCCACCCACCATCTTTGATTTAAAAATACGTTAATTTTAGAGTTAAAGTCTTTTTAGTAAAGTTAGAAATATACAATCATCTGTACGTGTTTCACTGCGTTATGCGTGGTGCGGCCTAATATCGCGAATAGTTCCATTCTCTCCCCGCCCCCCCGTTTAAGAGCAGCTGGGCAAAGTTCTGAGATCTACGAATTCGCAGAAGTCAGGCTGTGGATTACCTAAGATACAGAAATATGGCCCGCAATCACATTAAAGATTTTAATTGTAGCCCTTGACGCCTTGCAAGTTAGACACCCTGATTTAGATAATCGGAACTTCCTTCACAGTATTAATTGTATCGAGTTTAAAACCGCTGTCACCCGGTGACCATATTCCTCTACTTTGTAATGTCAATATGCTGATTGCAAGTTAAAAACAATTGACGTGGTGAAACGAGACAGGTGATATTTCTTTTCCATAACATTTGGTATCTGTCTTTCTGCTTTACTGATCAGCAACTTTTAAAATTAAACTATGGTAAATCTCGATTTTTGGCCAATGGGACTTGGTCACTGAGAGCGCCTTTCATCAAAATGGAGTGCAGGAATAGAGGCATATCCAATAGAAAGGAGCTCTCTCTATTTTTCAAAACAATTAGTACCATACATTAATCACATTATAAAAAGGCAATTTTTTTCTTTAATGACTTTATGGAGTAGGTCCAAACTGAAACTGCATCCCCCCTCCCGCAAATACTTCTACATCTACTCGCATTCAACGGTTTTATAGTGAACTCCACCTGGAGTTCTTTTGTTGTGGTTCAATGAGACTGAACAATTTAAATATGATTCAAACTTGGCAGCAGCATATTGTTTGCACTTTCATGAAAGAGAAATTGCCATTAAACAAACCGCATTCAACTTGACAAGTGGCATTTCCTGACAGATTGTTAAATGTGTGCATTTTATATGCTAGAAAAAGTTAAGGACAGAGAATATAAAAACGAAAATTGTCAATAATATCAATGTCAATATTTATGGTATAGTTGGTGTAAAAGTTAATGTCCATTTATGATATTTTTGAGTTCTTTATATTGCTAAGTCACATTTTTTGCTTGACGAACTCGTTTAAGCCAGGAGGTTGGGTGTACTAAATTATCAATAATTCCTTTTCAAACTCAGTCACATGTCAGTGAATACAGGAAATATCTTCTAAGCATGTCATTTCCTTTCATAAAAATATTAATTTAAAATTATTTTAATTTAAATTTAAAAATATTAATTTCAATAATATTTGAGAATAATATACATTTTAAGGTGGGTGTTAAAAAAGTGACATTTTATCTACCAAAAGCTATTGAGAAAACAAAATAAACAAGAAGTTCTGCTTGATTTATCACAAAATATGGTTCTTGTAATCAACGAGTTTCACTATATTTCATAATTTACTTAATGTAAACATTACAACTAATCTTTATAATTTTATTGTTTTGTATTCCTAATTGCAACCTACATAAGAATTCAGTATTAAAATACTGAACTCTTTCCCCCTTTACCTTCTTTCTATTTCTCTTAATTTCTACTTATACTGGCTAGCTCAGTTTTTTTTCCGTCATTTAAAACCGTATAAAAAATCTTATTACACCCATACCCGCAATGCCCATATCTCTCGGTTTTATTTATTTAATTCACTGAAAGGGCAGGTCTGAAAATTCTCTGTTAAAAACGAGTTCTCGGCCGATAGAATGTATACTCTGGGGAATTTGGGGCCGATGGAGACATATTTCAATTATTATTAAAATAATAACACCAAATTTATGCTCATTACAGTAACGCAACAACACCCTACACTATTTATTTTATTTAAAATATTTTACTTTGGTAACGTCACATTTGGTTTGTTTTCACGTTAAAATGATACATAAATATTTACTAATTGAACAATGAAAAATAAACAATCACACTCACACTATATTTACAAACAACCACCATTCATAATTTTCATGCTTAGATCTGTGCATCCACATATTACTAAATTCGAACCCCATTAATGGCTATTTACTAACTGATTCTTTTTTTTTATTATTAATTTAAATCTCACGTCAATCTTAGCCTTGAAAAAAAAGATAAAGTCCTTTTCTTTTGCAAAATTTTATTTCTATTTCTTTAGTCCGCACATTCTGTTTGAACGACGAATTGATCTTCTGAACACTTCTCTCTCCATTACACCATTCAGCTATTCGTTACACACTCGAAAGTTTTTAAAGTTCCAATTTCCTTGCTCGGGCTAATATTCAATTAAAACGTCCAAATTGCCCTTCTCTTCATCACATTAACCGTGCTTCTACCAGAAGCAATAATTCAAGTAACTTATTTTCGCGACGCATGACCGTCCCTTATGGCAACTTTCTACTATCCCTATCTGCACGACCGGCCTCTACAGTGGCTCACTCTCTTCCTCCTTTTTGCAATAATACCTTTTTATTTATATTTATTTTCCTCGGCAGCCAAGTTCGATACTTGAGGGTATAATGAATTATTTGAACCTTGTTTAAGGAACATTCACGGATGAATACATTGAGTACGTGGATTAAATGTTCAAAGCATCATATGGTACAAGAGGATGGGAGGGGGGCTTAGTCTGTTGGGGTGGGGATTTGTTTTCAGATTTTGAAATGAATGGCTGAGGGAATCTGGGGATTTTTAGCATAAAAGCGAGTGGTTAGGAGGAGAAATGATGGAGATCGGAGTGATGCCGAGGTCGTTATGTAACTGGGAGCTTGGTACAAAATAGGGAGCTTTTGTAATGGTTCGGAGGAACCTTTTTTATGTGATCGCCTACTGTCCGATTGTCTTTTCGATGCATCGTCATTATTTTGTCAAACAAACACGTTTTCCCAAATCGCTATAATGCTTTATTGTTCCTTGCATACATTAATTTATAGAAACCATGGTCAATTACTACCACTTTTACATTCATTTATTAACAAGTCACGTCATTGAGATGACATGGTTTATATCATAGTATATTGAATATATGTACTTCATTCCAAATTTTATATCTTTTCTACTCAAATTTTCTGAGAAGTTTGGAGGGTGATATTGTTTATATAAATTCTTATTATTCAATTTACCATTATTTTCTTAATAACGTCAAAAACATATGTTTATTATTTAGAAACAGGTAACGAGAATTAATTAGTATGGAGTTAAAAGAAAAGTTATACCATCTTCACTACGGCAAATTTGATTTGCATTGAAATCATCAATAATTTTTACAAACTGTGACAGTCCTGTAGTTTGTAAAACTAAATTGTCATTTATGTTTCATAACATTTAATTAATATAACATTGAATGATGCATACTATTTTTGTTTTTTCTTAATGTTGATTTCATTGTAATTGTGTGTGTTCATTTTATGGACATATTTTAGTCTTGTACCCCCAATGAAAATTTTATAATAAAAATTGTGCTTTGTGCAGGTATTATATTATCTTTTTGTGTTAAAAGTGTCAATTATCCTTGATTCATATAATACGTTCGAGAATATGAATGGTTGATTGTTAAAGGGACCTAAGTCACTTTTTTGTAGTTTCTAGAAAAACTAATTTTTTCTTGTGATATTATAGCACTATATAGCACTTTCATAAAATTACATATTAAAATGCATATACAGATTTAAAATTGGGTATGTTTTCGACCCCTAATACTTAAAAAGGGAACCAGAAAATAATTGTTTAATCTTGTTGACTTACATACCTTTTAACTCTCAAAGTTTAAAGTAAGGTTTTATTTGAAACAAATGCAGGTTTTTATTGAATTAAGACCAATACCTGTTATTTTCTTATTACAAAAACAAATCTTTAATAGTTAATGAATATTAGTACCTTACAAAGAATGGATTTCTTGGTTTATTCATTTGTATTAAGATCATAAGTTTGTGGCCACTTGTTTAAAAAAGGCTTTTTTTCTTCTACAACATATCGCATATTTTTATTGGTCTTCAATTTTTTAAATTTTTGATAGGTATTTTTCCTAATGGATAATCTTTTTGACAAGGTAAAGATATTTCATTAGTTTTCTTGAAGATAAAGTACACTGGCTTTGAAAACCACCTGAACCTATGTACTGAGATACCTATACGGTATTTTGGATTAAAATATAAAATTATGACGGAATGAAATAGGAAGTAAGGGAAAATACTAATAAATCTATACACAAATGAGATATTTTAGGCGTGACACATCATGTAACAAGAAAAACGAGTGCACATAAATATTTTAGATATTAGGAAAATATTTTATTAATTGTTATTTAATAAAAAGCGACATCGTTAGAAGAGGCAAGAGAATTCAGATGGCTTACCTACAGTGGACAAACTAGCATTGGATGCCGAGTGTAACAATTAGAACAGAAACATACGTTGATAGATGATAATTTTTTCATCATATTTGATCTGGAATTGATAGAGTGAAGACCTGCCGTCGCGACAGGCATAAAACTGATTGGAAAAAGTTCAAATCAGATTTGGTCTCCAATTGATAAAGTGAAGATGTGACACCATGACTGGCATAAAAAGTTTAGGGAAAGTTCAAGTTATATTTTCGTGTAATTTAGTAGTAATGAAAATTAATACGTTAGAATGTGTCGTGATTGCAGATGCGAATTTTGAGGCTTAAGTAGACAGCTAATGGAAATAGGACGCGGCCAGTAAACAAAATCGTAAGCAGATACGATTTCAGCAGATTCGATTTTTCATGGAATCCACAAAATGGTGGAAGGACGACTCTACGAACCGAGTGATTCTTCTCAGCACCAATATTGCAGTGGTTCCATCACCATCAGGAAAGTTTAGAAATTAAGTATTTAAAAACTTAACAGAAAAAATTGTTCAAGCCAAAAATGTTTAGTTAATAAGTAAAATTAGGAAAAAGCATGATTATAAAGAGACTCGTAAGTCTTATGCAGATTCGATTGCCATCATAATTTGTAAGGTAGACACAAAGAATAATCTAATAACAAAGTTTGTTAGAATTAAAATAGGAAAAGAAAAAGATAAACTTGACATTCATTAAAATAAATAGCAGTTTCGGCACTTCATGTAACTGAAATATAATTCATTAAACAATAGTTCATAATATTCAAAATTAGTAGAGCCAATGAGTTAAAAAGGTCATAGCCTAAATCGAAATATTCAGTGACTGAATTCTCATAAGAGTGTTTCGGTATTTTCAGCCCACAAGATAGAAGGAGACAAGCTATGAGATCGTAAGTATAAAAGCGCCAAATTGCACAAAAAACCGAGCTAATCAACCCAATTATATAAATAAGTATAGGAATAAATACAGACGGATAGTGGGCACCGTCACAGAACTGTTTTTACAATGCCTTTGAGTTCATGAAAGTAGGTACTGGAAAAATACTTGGGAATACTGAACTGCTCTTCTTTTTTGAAGGTGTCTGGTTTCAAGACAAATTGACTTGACTCATTTCAAGACACTTGGAATGAGTAGGCCACCGAGTAGAAACCCCGATGATTATATCTGTCTTGACCGGTGCAATTGTCCCTGCGTGTTTCTTTCCAGCAGTAGCTTTAAGCAGGGCCGATTTAACAAGGAGTCCCCTGGGCTAACAAAGTGTGGGGGCTCTGTAGGTAGTAAACAACTTTTACACATAAACCAGTGGAAAGTTTATATCGCATGGATCGTAATATACACACGTGGAGAGAAGAGATTATTCTGTTCCGGTGCCTCGTGTATCAAGTAACAATTCGGGAGCAGATTCAGCCGGGATCTGGTGGAGGACGAACGAAGACAGCGCTTCGCGCACCGCAAACTGCCAGTTTTGCAGAGGGGCGAGGCGACAGCGGGACCCAAAGTAGGCCAAGGTCGTGAGCTCTCGACGCGGACGTCCTCGGACAGAGGTAGGCGAAGCCGACCCACGACGAGCGAAGAGCCAGGTAAAGAAACGCCGTAACAGGACTTGAGAAGCAAGCGGTTCGATGAGCGCACGAGCACTGCTATCATTAGATAGGGTCACGCGCACGGCTTATGCCAATGTCTAAGTAGGCAAAGATTGAGGGAAAGAAGCTGTACGTAAAAGCAGGAACTGTAGTGAATTGATTGAGCAGAGTTCAGTGAATGCCTTGTAAACTATTTAACAAGTTTCATTCCCTAATGATTCGTTGAAAAGTAAAGTGTAAATATTTCAAATACTAGACGTAGTGATTGTTGACTATTATGCTAATGTTTAAATTAGCAATGTGTAGTAATGTTTAAATTAATTGTAAACTTTTTAGAAGTAAATTTAATTAGAATTATGTTTTTTTTAAGGGAGTGAAGAAAATTTCCCTTGGTAATTCGCAACCGTTTGCTAGCATAATATCTGGTAGCGACCGTGCACGGTGCTCGGACCATCACAGATTTTGTCAGTTCACGGTACTTTAGTGTCACTGAAGATTGTGAGTTACTGATTCTAGAGAGTGTATTTTGTTTCATTTGAATGTGTTATATGGTTATTGCTGTGACCGCTAGATAGCGCGTGAAATGCAGCAACTCAGCCGGAGGAGGGGTAGACGTCGTGCCGTGGATCCGCACCTGGTTAATATCAACTAATAAAATCAATGTAGGTCTAGACCCTAATGGCTTCTTAAGGAAAGGATCCATTAAAATTGTGCTCCAAATACTTGCGCGTTAAATTACATACGAAACTAATGGCGGTATACAGCACATACTTTCTCGCATTATGCCAAGTGAATCTGAAAAACGTTTTTCCAGCCAGCAAACATTTTTTCAGTGCTGAGATTTGAACTCAGCTCCATTGAGTTAACTCGCCGTCCATTTTACCACTGCACCTCGCAGTCACTCTGCCACCCTAACTTGTGCAGATGCTTGAAAATCCAGTTCTCTCCCACTATCCCCAACATGCACTTCTCAAACATTCAGAGATCAACGAAAACGAGACCTGCTCCATTATTTTAGCGTTGCTAGTTTAATCAGCGGAAAATAATTGTAGAGTTTTTTGAAAAAAAAACAAACATATTTTCTTTTTATAAATTTCATTAAATTCAAGTACAAGTTACGTAAAAATTTTTTTTCTTCAAAAAAATTGTGCAAGACCTCTTTTAACGATCTGATTTTTACTTTCCCGTATACATACGTATATTACTGAGTATAGGGGTAAAGTTATGTAATACTAGCGTCCTCTGATACCGGAAAACGGTTTTTTCCCCCCTCCAAAACTCCCGTCTGTCTGTCTGTCTGTCTGTCTGTCTGCCCGTCCGTCTCTGAGCATAACTAACGCCAAAACCATACATAGAATTTTTTCCAAATTGAAGAAACCCTTGTCCATATGGATCGAGTCGAAACTTAAGTGTCATGATTCGCTACTTCGCAATCAAAATAAAGATAAAACTTTCCAACAAAAGCAGTGAACTTCTTTTGCAGTTTAAATGTCATCACACACACACACAGGCAAAACAAACTATCTGGATGGTTTACTTTGCAGGAGTCTACGAAGAACTGGTGCAAAGCCGTAATCAGCTAGGAAATGTCCAGGTCACATCGTATTTACAATTCCTGACAGGACTATGTCCCAGTCTTTTGATGAAAAATGAACTTAACACAGGTATGTATGCCACCTGCACCTATTATTTATATTCTCCCTAAAAATAAAAGCATCAGCTGAAAATTTATAACTGTAAAAATAACCAATTTAATGCAGAAGTTGGCAATAATATACTAATATCTTCAAAATTAAACTGATAGCAGGGCTGGATTTCTCACATAAAAATACTTTAAAATCATGCAAAAAGTATTTAAGTATTTTAACTGGTAGCATTTAACTATCAATGACTAGCAAAAATTATTAGGTCAGCCTGTTTTGGCCTCTCAATCTACTCCTCTCAATAACTTCACCGTCAACACCCAACTCAAACATTTCTTCCCTTCAGATTTGAGATATCTAGGACCACCTTCACTAGATGATGAATATTAAGAATTTGATTTCTTTAAACTCAAAGACGTAACTTTAGGTTAGTAGTTTGACCAGGCCACACAGGACTTTCCAGAACTACCAACTCCACAAATCTGTTAATATGGCTCTTTATTGTCAGAAAAAACAACAACAAAGAATACATAACAAGAAAGAAGTCACAATAGAAAACTTCATTGATAAAAATTGTAATATATTTAAACTTTTTTCTCTTTAACAAATACGTAGCATAATATCCAGTTATGACTGTCCATTATACCCTAGATTACTATTAATTAATGTACTTTGCACAGACATCCAATGCAATGCTTTCAATCATCTTATTACATGACTTCTGACTCTTCCAACTATGATAATCAGAAGTTTAAACCCTGAATATGGGGTAAAAATTCAACAAAGCAAACTAATTTGCTGCTGTTCTTTCTGGATCATCTAATCTGAAATAGAAATACAAATCAGTAGGGCATGCAACAGCAATAATAATAATAATAATAATAATAATAATAATAATAATAATAATAATAATAATAATAAAAATTTCAATGCAAAAGATGAACTTGATTTTATGTTACCTGTAAATGGTAACATCTTCGGAAGTTGTAATCTGAGATGTATCTTGAGGTGTAAGAAAAACGTACTGATGCTTTTTGTTTTGTTGTGCATACCATATAAGATTGTTTATAACAATTCTTCGATTTACTTTGTCCTGTTGACATATTTAACAAAATTGGAAAGGCAACATACTAAATTTAGTGAGGTCGCATAAGTTGAAACAAACAAATATCATTTTTGAGCATATGATAAAGTCATAATTTCCTGACGCAAAGTCTTTTTGTTTGGCAGTGATAACTGTTTGGAGACACTTTGTCACATTTTACAGCATTTGCTATATGTTATTACCAGATGCATGTTTCTACGGTTTACAAAAAAGAAAATAAGCTTACATTTATTATTGATAAACAGACAAAATTTCCAATAAAACTAAAAATATTACTTTATCATTGATAAAATTCAGGAAATAGAATTCTTTCAACTTGGTGTTAAGATGCAGACTAATTATTCACAATTGTTGCACAGTGTTCCTCAAAACAAGTAGAAAATCTATTCCACCCATCATCTTATTGCTGTTGAACAACCCTGTTCTGTTCTCGATAATAATAGTTTTGATGCCTTCTGATCTTTCTATGATAAGGGCCTGATAGGGGTCTGATAGGAAAACACTTAAATAAGTTTCCTAGCAGAAAATTCTTGTTTTAAGTTCACATATGGTTGTTTATATATTTTATTGGGATCTGTTTTCAGAAGTGAAGGCAAGCCAGGTTGACCAGGATATGCCATTGGCCATGATATGTAGCTGGACGGCCGAGACAATTGTGTGGGGGAGCCTTGCACATGTACAGGAGGCACTGTTATTCTTGTAGTTAGTGACGATAATTATACTTACATGCAAGAGAATTTAATATTGACTGTATTACCAAGCTTATTGGGAATAAACTAGTTAATAAAAAGTTTATAAGATTTTTCTTTGTAAGAACTCAACGTAAATGATCTTCATTTAATACATCCTGCGATTACTTACCATAAAGACGTCAAACTCATCCATAAAGTAAAATGGTGGTTCAACACATTCCCATAAGGACAGTATAAATGAAACTGTAGAGTATGATCTCTCACCACCTGATAAAGACTTGGTCTCACGTCTTTCAGTCTCTTGAGCAGGTGCAATTTCAACATTCAAAGTTCTTGCTGAATCATCGAAATCCATACTGCCCTACATATTGACAAAAACACATAGCCATACATTTTAAGCTAATAAAAAGTATTACAGATAAACTAGAAAGAAGATCTTCAGTACCTTGTAACCTCGTGTTCTTAACAATGGCTTAAACATGTAGGATACCTTTAATTGCATAACTCTTCTAATTCTTAAATAGAGTTTCTTCCTGCTTACCAAGGATTTGGAAAGAGCCTGAAACAATAATAACTTAATTAATTTTATCCAACAATAAAGGGTCATCCATAAAGTATGTAATGCCAAAGAGGGAGAGAGGTAGAGTTACTCTGAGTTACCTAGGGATAGGGGTAGTGTTAGCTTAGTGTTATGTTGCATTGCTTTTTATTTACAACTGCTGAAATAATTTCCTTCATTCAGTAATATTAACACATTAAAATATTCACGAATTAAATGTTTTTAAATATAAATAAATTAAAGAATTTGATGTAATTTTTACAATGAATTTTATTGGGATCTTTTTTCATTCACTGTAATTAATTTTCAATCTCATTTAATTTTTTTTCATTTCATACATTAATTGAATCCATTACATTATGAAAAAAATATTCAAAACTGATAATAACAGTATATTCTAGAATCCAATTAAATCAGCACTATCTCTTGCTCGTGAATTCTTCCGTCACTCAAAAATTCTCAGCCAGTAAATTTGAAGTATATCTTTCAATAGTTCTGCTTAGTTTTCATTTATTAAATATCCAGTGACCACATATAAGTCCCTCTGAACGAAAAGATGATACCTTTATTTTGAAGATTCCTCCTAAGAATTTTGTAAATTTTAAAATAATTCCTACATTTGAAATAAAATAAAACTGCAATTAATCTAGAAAATAGTTTTCCCGATGAGAATGTTAAAATTTATTTCCTGAACTATCACTATGATCCTGTTCCTTAAAATCATCACAATATTTTTTCCACTACTATCATCATCTTCACATTTATCATTGTTTCTTTCTTTTTGTTCCTCTTCTCATACTGCGTCATACTCAAGACTTTTTAGGCTACCCTGAAAAATCTGAACCCACTCTTCTGATTCAACAGATATTCTTCCAATTGTGCTCTTGTTCATAGCCTCTCATTCATTATTAGTTTTTTCACTTTTCTTAACAGAACTTTCTTGAAATTCACATTATAAATGTTTGCCTTGTCGAGAAGTCAATAGTTAACTCATACATATTCATTTCACAGCTAATGCAGGAGAGAGCTCTCGCCTGAAAGCGGCAATGAATTGAGAAACTGTGTCAATGTCAATCAGCACATCATACAACTAAATCTCAGGAATTTGTCATTCTCATGTTTCACAGTCTATTCAGTTGAGATTCCCTCTTTACCGGCCTATTCAAACTAATACCTGAACCATGCTATTATCTATTATCCATACAATTACTTTGGATCACCCAGCCAATTCATGGTTAGAATATGTCTGCAAACCTAATTAGGTACTTTGGTTCACATGATTCTTATCGCTTTGTAACATATTGTTATGACAGCATTTGAGTTTCTTGACACAGAACAGCAGTGTAAAAACTAAATTTTAACTAGGCATAAGCTGGGAATATACGACTACTACGTATGAGAGTTCATTAAAATATCTCATTATATATTTGGGTAAATAATTAATTTGCAAATTTCTTCCTGAAAGTTTGAAATTATTTCATAAATGAAAATACACCATTGCTAACCTACTTTTCTTACTACTACACTTTTCTGACATTACTAATTACTGCCCAATCTCAATACTGAGTGCCATTTCTTAATTATATGAGAAACTACTTACTACTAACTATTCCTTTTCATAGGTTTTCTTTGAATTTCAACATGGCGGTATTGAGGGAGGGTAGATAATAAACTTAATCATCTTCAAACAGTACATAATTGAATCCTTCGGAAATGGCTGTCAAGTTGATATACAAACTTTGCTAAGGTGTGTGACCCAGTTAACCATTATCTACTCAAAAACTGGCTAAATTGTGGCTCGGTGAACTGCTTCTTTTTTTTTTTTTTTAATGAAATCATATTTACAAAACAGAAAGCAATGTGTTAATCGAAACGATCCCATTTCCATATCCTACACTCTCCTTCTGGAGTACCGCAAGGGTCTCATCTCGATCCCCTCTCTTCATACCATTCATTAACGATCTTCCAATAGTTCTTAAAAATAGTAATATCCGTTTGTTTGCTGATGTTGCTACAATCTTTTTTCGAATCTCCCACATGGAAGGGGCTATTAAATTACATGACACTGAACAATTGGTGTAAACTTAATGTCTCTCACTGCACCCTTATAAATGCTCTGCAATTATGTTTAAAAGAAAACGATCATTCATTCATTATTCGTCAACTATAAATTCATTTGATTTACCAGTGGTAAATATTAAAGAATCTTGGAGTGATTTTTGATACCAAACTTTACTTTAAAGAGCATGTTAACCATGTTGTCAATAAGGTCCTGACCACCTTGGGCTCCATACCGTGTAACACTTTGCAATTTCGCTCTACCAACATATTAAATTAATTATTTAATTCCTTAGCTAGATGTATATTTGGATGGGCAGTTGTTTGGTTTCTGTATACTCTCAAGTCAATAAATAGCCTGAAAAAAGTTTAGTAAAGGTAGTTACATGTTTTTCCACAATAATAAGCCTTTTCCAAGAATGTCATGCATACTATGATTATTACAAAATGTTTGCCATTCCAAACCTTGTCGAGAGAAGAGGAGCCATTTGACCTTTTGACACAAAATTATATCAGGTGATATTAACTGTACTAACTATTTATTTAACCTTGGACCCTAGATTCCTTCAAGGATTTTTGCATATGGATGTATGTATAGAGAATAGAAACACACAAAGAATACACAGCTTAGAAATTGAAAGTGAAGAAAGAACACTACTGGAGAATTTTGAATCATCTAGTACATATCTAGCGAATTGTTATTGATGAGAAAGTAAATTTCTTTGCATATCTATAGTTATGAGCTTGAAGGAAAAATCACATGACTTAAAAAAAGTATTGTGTTAGATCTAATTGCCAATGATTAATAACTCTACAACTGAGTAATTTGATTTATATTAGAAACAATATGTAAATAAAACAACAAAAAGCATTTGATGATTTGATTTAGATAATACAAATACTTTCAACATAAAATAAATATTTGTCAGCAAAAAGTTGTAAATCATGCTGGAAGCCAAACTTGCAATAATTTCAATACAGTTTGTTTCAACATTAGTGAAAAAAGTATTTTCAATCACTTTTTGGGCGCGAATTTCAAATTTTTAAACCGATAAAATTGGTTTTAATTGTTTCTTTACTATCGTCCATATTATTTCAAAATCTGGAGAACAAAAATGATATAGAATGTTGTAAGACGCATTCTAGAGGTAAACACTGTGACAGTACTTCAGCATTATCATGTTGAAAATTAATTTAAAAACATATTTATTTTTTCTCTTTGAATTTGGCATCAAAATTGGTTGCCAAAAATACCTTGAAATTCAACCATTGATTCTTGATTTTCCTCCATCAATCCATCAAAATCCATTCAACCTTGATTTTCCTCCATCCCCACAATTTTTTTTCAGTCTGATACATGCAATAGCAATAGATACTAAGAAAAAATATAAAACCTGTTTCTTGTTGTATCTTGACAACAATTGCACTAGGAGGCTGATTTTTGGGGAATCTATGGCATTTCTTATTCTCTTATATCAGCACTGAGATTATTGATTTGGTTTGGGGCACTTTTCACTCCCTTACTCGGCTATGCCTTTTAATAACTGACAAACATTCTGCATTGTTTGTTTTTCATCATTATTCCAAATGAATTTCAGCATTTGTTTCTTTGATCCCTCTCACAGATACGTGATAGAATATACTTCTAGCCATCCCACTTATACTGAGTTATGAAACTCTAACCCCTTATTTAACCAATGATAACCCCAAAAGCTAATAGGAAACATGAATCTTACCTTTAATCCTAATTCTATCTCATTCATCTGATCCATATTTGCTTGATATTTTTTCTTTTTTTCTTCAAGAATTTCAACCACCTCCTCTGTAACTCCATTTTCTTCTTCAACCATATCCTGATATGTTTTCAGGTCTTTTATTAAATTCTGAATAACATGGGCAGGCCTAGAAATAGTTTTAGTCAATTTAAAAACAAGTTTATGTGTTAAATTTGGCAGTAAAAGCAATTTCAGATATGTCTGATTCTCATCAAAAAGAATCCTGCAGAGTAAGTTAATTCTCTCAAAATATAACCTTGCAGTTTTGGGGGGTAACACCTTTGAAGAAGGAATGGAAAACTCTTAATCATAAGTTTGTGCTGCAGAGGATGACTAACACCATGGGGGGGGTTAATAATAGTCAAATTTGTAGCCTTCATACCGGATGGTCAGGTGGGATCAAAATTACAAAGGAAATCTTGTTTCCTTACCCGTTAAGTGCTAATTAATATTTTAGTTAGAATAAAAATGGAAATCATTTTCATTATTAATTTTTTTTACAAGAACTTCTTTTAAATGTGATTTTTTATTGTTTACATGTCTTTTCACACCCCTACTTTAGGTAGAATTAATGCCATTTTGCATGCCTATTTTAGTAAAAATAAATGCCCTTTTGCTTGCCTATGTTAGGTAAAATAAATACCTGAACTTCTGGGCTCTAACAATGACACAAATCCTTGAACCTTGAAAATGTATGTGATCTTGCAACCGAACTCTATTTACTATCCTATGCAACAAACAAACAACCAACCAACCAACCAAGTCTACAGAACAGCCTCTAGAAACAATATTTAATCCATGCTACTTTTTCCTGGCAAGTAGCTAGTCTCATTAGGAACAAGAGAAACAAAAATTTGTTGGCAAGTTTTAATGTGTACTGGGCAGGATCTGGAATTTCTCTGATAATGGTCATATTGAAATGTTTCATCGCTATAATTACCTTGTAGTCTCCAGTCGTTGTGGGCACATACTGAGTGCATGATTCACAACCACTTCAGTTTGCTTCTCCTGATTCTTCAATGACACCACCATTTGCTCTACATTACTGCAGTGTTCAGCATATGCCAATTCCAAATCCTTAACTTTGGATTCTATCTTTCTCACGATGTCTTTCTGATTGGTAATTTCAAGCTAAATTCACAACAAAAACTCCTTAATACAATATAACAAATTTATACAGATGTGTGACATGCAAATAATTTGCTCTTACCTGCAATTTTTGCATGGACTTGTCAATATCTTCTCTCTCTGCCTGAATTGCCTTCACCGCTTCTGCTGCATTCTGAGACAATTCTTTTAAGTTATCAGACTCCCTGTTCACTTCCTCACACTCCTTCCTCACCTCTTCACCTTTCTTTTCTAAGTTCTTCAATTCTTCGTTCTTGGAAAGAATAAAATTATTCACATCACAATTCAGTAAATTTCAACAACAAAACAAACGAGCATGAAACCCCTTATTTGTTAAACGAAAAACTCGCATCTTACATATTCTCCAAAAATATACAATACTAATAACATAATATACATTTGTGATACCTATACTTGAATGAAAGAAAGAAAAGAATGAAAAGGAAGATGGAAAGAAAAATTTTTTTGTAACAGCAGCAAGCACATATTTTAGCAATACAAACAAAAATGCTTGAATGAATTTTTAATGAAAATACAGTTGACTTTGACGTCATTTCTTGGAACAAGCCTAGCAATGTATCAGGGTGCAGAGATGCACTAGATTCTAAGAAACTCTAGTTTCATTAACAAGGGGGCAAGTGAAAGAAGCATGAAGTAAAAGGGGGTGACGTGCACGTAGTATCATGTAAAAGGAATCAACAAACAGAATGGTTGAAACAGAAGCACAGTCTAGAGAATTAATTCAGAAATGCTTTTATAAAGTGGAGAACAATTTGGACTACGGTAAAGAAGACATGCTCTGCTAGGCATTTTACAGATATCATCTGAAGAAAAGTGACGGGGTGATCAACAATTGTGTACTTTGGAATTCATGGTGTTTTCCTCATTCTGTTTCACTTTTACATTTCTTCTTGATCACTTGATCACTTCTTAATCATATTATGTTGCTCACACACATTTCTCTCGCAGCCGAGTTCTAATGTGTACAATTTTGTACAAAAACACACTTTTCTCTAGGAAATGTGTTTTTAAATAATATTCAAGCCCGGCTTAAAATGTTTAAGAAATGTTTATTTTTTTAGTTAGAAAGTAGATCTCAGGACTGAAGTCAATGTAGGGTTTGACGTACCATATCCCTATCGGGTTTGAAAAATGTCAGTTCTAACATGAATAACATTAGTTTTCAACATGCACATAGGAATATTTTTGCGAAATAGATATTGCACAGGTGACTAAAAAGACCTTGTGAATTTAGAGGACAAATGTAGATTATCTGATGTCCACATCCTTTTTTATAATACTTAAGAAGTGCGAATTTTCTTTCAATTTATTACAGGGGAATAGAGAAAAGTATGCTTCCTAGCCTAAGATTTCCGTTTTCAATGAAACTTCAGAACTTTCGGAATAAAAAAATCTTCATAATTGCTCGTTGATTCCAGATCTCTTCATTATTGAAATTTTGAGATCGATAATCGATATTGCTATACAACAATTTTAAAAAGATGTTTAGTAATAGCGATATTTAAGATCATGATAGTTTCAACATCAATTTAAATTAAGTTACAGAGATCAGCTGTAAACTAATTATGATGACAATAATAATATTAATAATGTTACTATTTTACAAGACTGTTTCATGTGTTACAAGACAGCTTGTACCAAGTTTCTACACATTGGATTATGCAGGGTTTGAACAAAGCACTCACTATTCTTTAAGCTGAAGTTTCCATTCAATGAGATTTAAATTTCAAATCTTGGAGGCATTACCATAATCTAATATTATTTTATTTTTATAGTATCATCATGAAAATTCTAAGACATGTATGTTTATTTGTTGTTTTTAGCTAATAAATATGTTAATACAACGAATGAGACAATATCACAGCGTCGATTTGGACAAAAAATAACACAGACACGGTTTCTTTTGTTGAATTTCAAGTATCAAAATTAACCAAATAGTTAAAAATTTCATTAAATATTTCTTAACTCTCCATCACTGATATCGTAAAAAATCACCCACAAATCGTATATATCACTCACAAAAAGGGTGTTCTGTATGTAATGTGATTATGTGATAATGTAATGTGATTCATTCACAAATTAGGGGCCATATTTAAATAGTTCCTGCACTTGAAGCAGATGCTTCACGCTGCATAAAAATTTCAAAGGGGCAACTATTTTCTTTTGTTGGCTGTGCTTTTATTGCTTAGCAGACATCCTGTGGCTTTTTGGGGAACGGTCTGACTTTGAAAGTATATCAATTGCATACATCACTAATACTATTTGTTGGATCAGGCCTGATCCAAAGGTAAATACATTCTGAAGTTCAGAGACATTTCGTTGCGAATTGTAATTTGTATGTTTAATATCACTCTTTTGAAATATTACTAAAAAACTTTATTGTGAATGCATTATGATTATGATTATCATCACCATCACCATTATTATCATTACTATTATTAAAGCCCATTACAATCTCATAGAGGTTAAGGGCCTCCAGTTGCTGGGTCGGTTACACAACGATAGAATTCCCGAGCACCCAATTCAGGAATTTCTTTATGAAGATGCTATTTACACACAAAAATAAGGAAATGTAAATTATCCTTACATACAAAATAAGTAACACTTCACTTTGCTACTGTCAAATTTAACACTGTTCACTTCGATTTCACTACATAAATCTAATTAGCTAATACTTTATCTTACTACTATCTGCATTGGCACTTATTACGTTGCTGAGAAATTAAATAATCTAGTGTACTATGTTCATTTGGTTGGATTTAGACATGGCCTTCCACTTCTAACAATCCTTTGCCGAGGTAGTATTTAAGATATTATTGGCTGCCAAACAGTATCTTCAATTCGTCCGACCAGCTCTCCGTCTCCCTGTCGACGTTTCTCTTTCCAAGTCTTGGATCCCAGCGGGTATGGGGAAGTCGCATGATGTGACCTGCCCAATGCCATTTCAGGTGTCGAACAGTGGTTTCAATGTCATTAATTTATATTACCTTTCTAATGTCTTCATTTTGTATTCTACTTGTCTGGGCAATATTTAAAATTTTTCCTTCCAATTTTTCAGAGGCAGACATTAATGGCATTTGTTTCTCTTTGTGCAAGTGACGGAAGTACACAAGTATTTATGATTTCTCTCTTTATTGGCAAACTGTAGGACTTGTTCACAAGATTGAATTTTAATATCCAAAATGTTGAACATGCTGAGGAAATTATTTTTTGTTTGCATCTGATTAATTATTTTTTTTTGTGTTATTATTGAAAGACATAAATTGTCCCATATTCTTCCACATAGTAATTTTTTTCTGTACTAACAGAAATTTTTATCTTTTGTGCTATTTGCCATGACCATTCATTTTCTGAGATTTATTTATAGACCTACTTTCTTGCTAAGAATTAGTAATTCAGAGAGCATTGCTTGCAGTTCTCTGGATGAATTGGAAATTAAAACAACGTCATCCGCAAACATAAGGTTGGATAATTTCTTCCAATTTCTGTTAATTCCAAAATTATCTGATAAATTTGGTAGAACCTCTGGTAATAAACAAATAAATAATTTATGGGAAATCCTTGCCGTACTCCTTGTCTCAAAACAAATTCTCGGCTTTCAAGATCCATTTTAATGTTTGCTTAGCTTGATAACTATATTTTCCCTAGTAATAAAATGTATTTATCGTTACTCCTATTGTTTTCCATGTCTTTAAAATATTCACTTACTCTACAGAACCAAAGGCTTCTGCAAAGTCTATGAAGGCGGCATACACTGGCAAGTTAAATACTTGTGTTTCCTCTATGAATTGAGTCATTGTTTGTAGGTGGTCAATTGCACGGTAGGTATTGCGGAAACCTCTTTGTTCCAGAGGTTGATTTTCTTCAATTGTTTTGTTTAATCTGTTCAAAATTATTTTTGACAATATTTTGAAAATATTTGACAATATGCTAATCATCCAATAGCTGTCAATATTTTCTTTTGGCCCCTTCTTGTGAAGTTGTATTATGGTAAATCGATTTCCATTCTTCAGTTAATTCTTCTTCTGTAGCACTTTGTTGAAAATACAGCACTTTGAAGCCCTTTGTTGTTTTTTATGCATGCAATTTTGTCAGTAACTCAATTCCATACGATTCAAAGACATTTAGAGACATGCGGACACTCTGAATTAACTCTAACGGCTGATGATTGTAGTCACTGCTGTAACTACTGCTGTTAAGCCCATTAAAGGCTCTATATTAACGTTTCACCAAAGTCGTTAATCTTGATGATCATCAAAAAATTCATCAAATTTTGACTGATTGGTTCAACCAGCCATTGACTTTGACAACTTGTTAAACTTCCATTGTGACATTAAGATGCATTAAATGCATGAATTATATTTTATGGATTTAGTTATTTTACTCTTTTGCTGTTACCGGCGCCTGTGTGGTAACATGGGAGATAATTTTGTCATTGAACTCTTGAATATTGTGTGTTAAGAAATCATGGGTCAACAACAAGCAATTATTCCAAAATAATTGTTTTTAACAAAATGGACATTGCTCAATTTGTAACAAGGCACAGAATCTCACAGGCGATGTTCCCAAAGATTTTAGAAAAAATAGAACCACAACTGGAATTCCCCTCAAATAGAAATGAGCATCTACACCCATGTTGATGGTTTTAAGAATTTCTATCCCAGGACATTTCCACCATGTGGTCGGCGATTGCAATGAAATTTTGTCATTCAAGGGTGTCCTTCTGTCAATAAAAATAATTTTTCTTTTGTAATTGCTTCACTACAGCTACAGTATGTGGTATTTGCACAAGGTGTCAAAGCCTCAGCACTAGAGCACAATTTTTGTCAGTAATCCTGTAAAAAGATGATTCTGCACACATGTGCCAATTTTATCCAGGGGGATGAATTAGAAAGATCTAGAAACTAAAAAATATAGTTCTCCTTAAATGTGCATATAAGGACAACCTTTTTGAAATATCATTGATCATAAATCACCTATTTTCATCAGCCAATTGGGAATCACGTTGGGACATAGTAATGAACCTCTGTATAAGGAACATTACATTTCTTGAAATTCCATTCTTCCCATCCTATCATATGCCCATCTCTCCTGGTTTGCTAAATCCCTCCGAAACTGCAGAAAACTAACCTGTGTCAAAAACTATAACATCTGTCTTATTTTTCGCCCACCAATGTACACCAATTACAACTCCATACGAACCCACAACAAAACACCCCACATTCTAGCATACCTCCACAACTCTGCAATAGTCCAACTTCAGAAATACATTAACAACTCCCTATTCCCCATCACCACATCCTCAGAAACCTGCCCCCCAACACTCGAAAAATGCATTCATTAGACATCCTCTCCTATCACCTAAGCCAGAGGGCAAAGACAAAACAACGACTATATTAGGGAAACTAACATCTATATTACAATTAATGAGATTATATATAAAAAGCAAGTTGAAGAATTCTCTAAAATATCTTAATAAACTTAAATTAAATGAAGGCACGATATCAATATAAACATGAGATGTCATAGGAGATTGTAAATTTAGTTTATGTCGCATAAATGAAAAACCTATGTTGAACAGTTTGAAGCTTGGCGATGCAGGTGAGATAATGGGGTGTCCATACTGGAGTTGTGTATAGCAATATGGACCTTATAAGAGAAATATAAAGAGTTTCCATAGTTTGAAAATCAGTAAAATAAGTAGTTAAGCATTTCATAACTCACAATATTCAGACAGTTTATCATTACGAATTAGATCATTTCGATCAGTATTGTCAGTTGGTAAATGAACGGATTTAAAGTGTTTGGCAAATAATAGAACAATTTTCTGAGATTCATTCGTATGAACATTTTCAAGGAACATTGACTTAGGAAGACCAGGAATATTACGCTTAGAATATGCATATTTCCAAAAAGTTTTGATATCATAGTTAATAGACAATTGAATTTTGGAATTATAAACAAGATAATCCACTTTTTGTTTCAATTTTCAATCACTATACAATTCAGAGAATTTACAATAGTCTATATCATCAAAAGGCAATTTGTATCTTGAGAGAGCTTGAGCTTTTCCGTTTAACATATATCAAATTCTGCAAATACCAAGTGGAATAAGAGGACAATGATATTAAATTAATTGTAACACACTTTCCTATGGTTTTATATGGAGTATTATAAAAAGCATAAACCGATGTATCAAATGGATTCTCTGAAAATGTTTGAAACCAATTGAAATTTAACAACTCTTTATTTAGCAAATAGAGATCAACATGTTCAAAGTTATACCTATATTCATGAAATCATAGGAGAAATGTTTTGATCAATATTTGAATTTCCAGTGCTGAATGATAATTATTATTAAGTATCAAGAGTTATTCACATTTTTTTAACTATACACGATTGGTTCTGAACATGTGTTGAGATCACTTCAAAAAATATTTTGTTCTATTAAATCATCACGTTCAAATAAACCACTAAGCTGATTCTTCTATTAATTCAAGCTCTGAGGTTCAAATTGAAACTTGCAGACGAGATTCTGAAAATGATTACCTCAAAGGTTCTAAAAACCTGTTTATAATTTCTGAATAAATATCATAAAATTCAAGTTGAACCGGTATAAACATTAAATTAATTTCACGGATTTACATTTTGTTATCATAAAATAAAAACTATAGAATAGTAAACTGACGTTCACTAACTAGACTCTTCAATAAAATGAATCCATTTTTTCCAGCCTACAATTATATAAAGGTTCAGTACTGCAATTTGAAATGAATATTGTTTACAATCATTGTATTATAATTTTGAAATGCCCAGACACACTAGCAGTTACACATATTTTAACAACTACATGTTACATCCTCCACCTCTCTTTCACAACTAATGGAAGTGCAACAAACATAGCATGATGTTAAATAAAAATTAAACTATGAAATATGAAAAAGGATGCATAACAGTATCAAAAAAAATTACATCCAAAAATCTTATTAAATCTTTCTTGAAAAGCAGTTCTTTCATACAAAAGTACACCCACCGGAGGACTACATGATCTCCATTCTTTTTATCATATCAAGAATATTCTAGAAAGTCAATTACTTACCAACATCAAGAAATGTTGTGGATCAGGCAATAAATCCATTGCACTTTCGAACTCGCTCTTCTGCTTAATTAATTTGGCTTTTAAGCTACGCAACTCGGATATTCTTCGGCATACATCATCAGTCATTGCCCGATTTTTATCAATCATTACATTCATTTCACGCATCTGAGTATCATATGCTATTAAACTCTGCATATCTGCTTCCACTTCACTATACAACTGACTAAAATAAAATAAATCACAGAAGTCATCACAGAATAACGGAAATCACATGTTTGATGTTGTGTATTTCATAATAAATTAATGGTGCTACAGAATGGTACAGACTTTCCCATTAGTTTTTTTATTTCCTTTGGTCTCAGTTAACTATTTGGACTTGCCACATATTCTTGCCAGCAGCCATCTATCGCTACCCAAAGTACATTGTTTAAAAATTTTACTAATTTTTTGGGTTTGCTAATAGTAGACCAGAAACATTACTAAGAATATTGAAGAACAGTAAAACCTAAATGGTCATTTCCTTTGAAAAATTTGGAGCTGTTTTTAAGAAAATGGCATTTAAGTACTTCTGTAAATTTGAAATTTGAAGTTCTTCACAGAAAATTTTTGACTTCTCAAAAGTATTCATGTGAAGTCATTTGAAGCACATCAACTCGCAAACACAATAGTGTTTACAAATTGCTGAAAATGTGTATATTAACAGTGTGAGAGATATTTCAAATACATTACAATAGTGTAATTGTTGAGGAAAAATTCAACAACAAAAAAAAAACTATTTTTTAATATTACAGAGTGCAAGTAACACTATATTTCGAAAAGTTTGAAGAAAAAATTTGGAGCGGTTTTTGAGAAACTAATGGTTTAAACACAAAATTACCTGTTTGACACAAAATTTGGCAAAAATACTTGTATTTTTGAAAAATAGTACATGACATTTCAAAACCTGTTTTGAAAGAACAGATTCTATTAAGACAAGAATCTCCAACATTTTAGATGTAGAAATACACCAAAAAATTTTTGAATTTTTTATCCAATTTGACAGACTTTTGCCGTCAATCAATTTTTCAGTATCGAGGACACACAAAACACACATTCTGGAACCATGATTCATTCATGGAACCAATCAGAAACCATGATTAAGAGGATTTTCCCCCTATATTTAGTAATTGGATTCATCCATTCTTTCATTATCAGGGCCCAGCAATAAGATTTAAGTATATGTTAATCAAAACATACTAGTATAATGCAACAATGTACTACAAGTTTTGTATTTTTGTACAATTATTGTATCACTTGCATACTTTCATCCCGTTCTCATAAGAAAGGGGTCTTTGTTTAAAAAGTTTCTTTTCATATTTTGAAACAAATTCCACAATTAGAGATTCTAAACACTCAGAGAAAAATTAAACAAACAGGATATTTAATCTCAAAGTTAGTGACAGTAAAGCTCAGTGGTTCACTTGGAGTGGGGGTGGGCAGTCATGGGGCTTTAATTCCCCCTGAAGCTGATAATACATATTAAAAAAATATAGCTTTTGCTATTTTCTTAACTAACATAAATCACTCAATATATCAATTGTCAACATTATAAATATTCACTATTTGTTAGCTAACTAAAATTCATATTATATTTAGCATGCAAATTCTTCATAAGAAAATAAATCGCTACACACTCAATCATACATACGCCTCTGTTATAACTGCAGTAAATACGTTTGCTTCACTAGCTGTGACACCTTGTGGAATTGCCAGTTATGTATGATCATCATATTGTGGAACATTTCTACTTTCCCGTATATGTTCATATATACAGAGTAATATACGTAGTATAGGGAAAGTTATGTAACACCGCTTGATTTCGAGTTTTTGATTGATTTAATTTTGGGGTCCCCTGATAACGAAAACATGTTTTTTTTGTTTTGTTTTTTTCCCAAACCTCTGTCCAGCGTATGTGAACAACACTAGCGCTTCAACCATGTGCAGGATTTTTTCCAAATTGAAGAAAAGCCTGTCCATCTGGCATGGGTCAAAGCTATGCAGTTTTGAAAATCATTCATTAGTTTTTGGGGGTACTTTACATGTAGCCCTGGGATTTTTTCAAAATTTTCTCACAAATTGCTCCAAATTTTTTCTTTAAAATTCTTGTAAAAATAGGGGTAAAATAAACATAAAGGTGGCATAGGCCCAATGTTCATGGTTCACTCTGAACTTTCGAAAATTTCAAAAGTTTGAAGTTTTTTTGGGGACTTCCTACAACTACAAAATTAAAGATAGAGATTTTTCCTAGAAATTATATTTGTTGTCCATAATTTGTTCTTTCGTTAAGGTCATGAACAGTTTGTTTTAAATTTTAGTAGTCTTCATGCCGCGTAGGAATATGAATAATTAAAAAAAAATTTAATTGTAATTATAATTTTTAAATTAATTAATAAATTTAAAATTTTTTTTTGAAAAATACATAGAAAATGACATACTGAATTTAACACTGGGCAAAATTTGGAATACTTACTTAATCATATCTTGTTTGTTGATCTGCAAAAACCTAGCCCTCAATTTTCCACTTCCAGCATACATTCTATAATCAGGAAAGGGAAAGTATGTGTCTCCTTCCAAAGTTATAGCCTTTCTACAATTCTTGGGCACATTCTTGCTCATCATTCTAACAGCTTCTTTGGGAGTGGGAATCAACAGAATACCTTCTATACCATTTGCATCAATCAAAGCATTAGCAGCATTTACTTCAGAAATGCGAAGAACATCATAAATGTTTTGATAACCTGGGGCTTTCACACAGCTGCCATGTATATTATGGAGCTGAAATAGAAATTTAATGCAACATTAATAAATTAGTCAAACAATTTTAAGGATGAGGAAAGGAAGTGTCCTGACCCTATTTGGGCATTTAAGAAGTAACTAGAGGTGTTATAATAGCACACCTTGTCATATTAATTGCAATGGTTATGTAATATAATATTGCTTCTTGATACCTCCTCTTCCTCACCAAGTCCAGTGCACAAGATTAAGAAAAACGCAAAACCATACAACATATTTAATTTTTGAAATTTCAAAAGTTTTAATGAAAGATGCACTTCCATCACTGAATTAATTATATTGTACTTTACCCTTAAAAATGTCAAACAATATTTGCCCATAATGAAATTTAGGTTTCTGAAGCCAGATCCATACCCTCCAGGTTGTGATGCGAGAGCAATTAAAAAGGATTCTTAATGTTGTATTTTGCACACAAGATACATATTATCGACAAATTAACTCAAAATCACATGCAAACAACTAATATGTTTCATGATATGAAAAAAATTTAAGATGTCATATTAAGAGAAGGATTACAACTAAGAAATAAATCTCTAGCTTTAATATTCAAGGTGTAGGACAAATTTCAAAAAACTGAACTTTTGCAACATAATGGAATTTCAAATGTTTTATTGAGAATCAGACTTATACCATACTAACAAATGCACTTTGAAGAACAAAAAGTTTATAATTTTCATTCCAGAAAATATCAACACTACTTTTTAGCAATTAACCATCATATCAGCATATTTTTATTGAGGGGTCAATAGAGTAGGTCATAAACAGTATATAATTATCATATGTAATACGAGTGCTTTGGAAATTGTTGATAAATCCCCGACTCACCAAGTGAGGAGGGGATTTATTTGAGAATTTCCAAACCCTGAGTGATATTTATTAGGATTATTCCACAAACGAAATGATTTCCAACAGAGTTCCAAAATCCATCAATTATTGAAAACAACTGAAAGCTATGTAAAAATCAAGGTGTTACAGCACATACACGGTTTATTGGACATTGAAATAGCGATTACTGTATTTATTATATTACTGATTACTGCACCTCCTAAGATAGAAGAATTCGCCACAAGGGAGGAGCGGTAAGAAAAATCGGAAAGAAAATGTGATTGCCTTTTTGAGATACATTGCGTTGATTGGGGCATTTTGTATGTTAAACACTATGTTAGTGCTAAACGCGATTTGGTGTTAATTTAACAGTAATGGTTTTAATTTCATGAGTGGAATAGTCACTATAAACCACAATTATTTAGTCATCCTACCTTGTCTGTAAATTTGCTAACTAAAATTCCAGGATTTCTAGACAAGCGAAGTTCTTTGAAAAGACCTTGTAAAACCTGGGAATCTTTAGCACAATGTACAGCAAAAAACTGGCAAGTACTTCCAAGTTCCTTTTCAATGGCTGGCGTCCATTTTGCATCTTCCACTTTCACCAAAGATCCTAAAATATACATTACAATAAGCAGGATGTTACCTTTACAATCCTATTTACTTTCAATGAACAGAAGAACAAGAAATCAAACTAGTGATGATATAACAGCACACAATTATTCGCATTATTTGTAACATGAACCTGCAAAAGTGTTTCCAAACACCAAAAATGTTTCCTCTGTGCTAAGATTTTTAGAGATACACATCATTTATCTTCACCCAACTCTACCAGCTAAATTCAATCTTCCTGATAACTTAAAAACTAGTGGTGCACACACTTTCTCACTAAACTAATAGCTAAACTAAACTAAACTAAACTAACTTTTTAACATTTTTTCCAAATTTGCAATTTTTGAAAATTTAGAGTTCAACAAAAATGAAACTTGCATCATTTTTTTAGGTGTTCTTTATTATTTTAAAGAAAAAACTTTTATTGATTTTTAGAACATTTTTTTTATAATTAGCATTAACTTCAGAAATTGCGAGACTACTATTTTTTTCTTTCAAAAGATTGTCCACGACCCTTTTTAAAGAGCCAAACATTTAGAACAGATTTTGTTAAAGACCAAAATCTCTATCTTCATATTTGTAGTTTTGAAATGTTACCTTTTTGCAAGTTAACAGAATTCAGAGAGTTCGCTGGAAACGGGACTTGCACCACTTTTTTTAATTGTTCTTTGAAACATATGAGAACATTTGAAGTAAAAAAATTTGGAACCATTTTTGAGTCTTGTACACTATCTGACGAAAAAATGTATTCAAAAGCTTCGGAGCTAATTTTTAGAAAATTTTTAAAATTTAAATGAGCCTTCATGGAAAGTACCAACCACAATTAAAATATCCTCAAACTTACAGGGCCTTCAGTTCTTTAAATCGATGGGAGAATATAAATTTTACAGAAAACAGCTAAACAGTTTAGATCGTAGTGTTGACTACTAACAGTCACACAGATGAATGTTTTGCCATCAAAAAATTTTCAGAATCAAGCATCTACAAAACATTCTGAATACACGAGTTCGAATTATGTAATTTACTACATATAGGAAGAACATTTATTCAAATTTTCATTCCATTCACAGTCTCTGGTTCCCCCTTACAATGTTTTCTCTTCCTTCACAGGGTGAGAATTAAAAAAAGAAAAGAAAGAAAAAACTAAATATTTTAGGTTTGCTATGTTGATTTTTTTGTCTTTTGGCATGTCTAGCAGATTTTACCAAAGAGGTTACAATTGATTTATTTGAGGTTAGGTGCCAAATTTGAATTATTTTCATTTCCTTTGTGTTAATAATAATATTTTAAGCAATTAATTTATAATGTTATGCTTTATTGCATAAGTACGTGTTCTGAAAATTAGTGTCAGGAGTCAGATTTGAAATTTGCGCGAATGCAATAAAGCAGCTTTATAAATGAGTTGCGTATTCAATTTTTTTTCTATGACAGCATTATATATATAAGAATTATATCACACTTAATTCTGGGAAACAACTGTCTTGTGATGTCTCGGGTATTTGACATCCATGTGAGAAAACGGCGTCAGCGTCCCATTCCCCACTACCTCCCCATGATTCTCTCGCTAGAACTGGCTGAATGTGTGATGACTAGGGAAATGATTTTAAAGTGTGGTACCTTTTCAAAAATATAAATGTTTTAATAATGATAGTTTAATATATGTACTTGGGAGTATGAAATGAAGTGAAATCCTCCAGTCTTTTCTGCATTTTTAAATGATTGGGTAGACAAATATATTTATTTCTCTTCTTGAACAGATTTTTTAAAATCTTATTCAAGTCAGCGATCATAAATAAAAATTAAAAATATTTTACGTAAATCACCAGTAATTTATATCCCAACAACAATTGTCAATCTGCAGTTGTAGAGTTAAATTTAAATTTCAACAGGGTTCCTGCAACTGTTTAATGCTTTCCTACTGGATTTAAAAGTGCTGCCCAGATAGGCAAATCAGGACATTCAAATGATTGTGCAGAAATCCACTTGTCTGTGACCTGAGGAAAATGTTTACCCTTGCCATTGTGTCACCTCAATATTAAAAGAGCACTGGCAGTGCTTGTGCATTTGGAGGGGAAAAGAGGAGTCACAGGAAGTTATCTGTGCCTGCAAGAGCATGGAGCTTCCCACATGGGCAAGTGCTCATGCAGATGCAGTTTGACGCCCCTACGAAGTACGTTCTACTATGATATCGCAGGAAGAATACGTTCAGACAGTACTGGCAATTGTTTAACCGTTTTCTATCAACAACGGGGTTGAATAAAGTCTTATCAATCAGTTCTTACGAACTCTATAAAGAAAAAATATTTGGTGCAAAATGATATGAATATTCTAGAAACTGAGTTCATGTTACTGGTTTCAACCTTAATACAGTTGTTTCAGCAGCACCTTTTGTATGTATATTCAGAACCTTTCCCCCTTTTTTTACGACCATAAGATGCACCTCAAAATCCTTTACCTAGTGATGCAATAATTCATGCCGTAAAATCTAAAGTCATCATTATTGCTGTAAAATGACCCTTTATTAAACATTTCTTGCCACAGAAAAGGTAATTTATAATGCTGGTATACAAAAATATTGTTTTCCACATCTCCCTACAATAGATAAAGATTTTTTTTCCTTAATAAAATCAGTTTCTTTAAAGACAGATCTGGAAAATAGGGAATGTACAATTTTTCAAAAATATGAGTAGTTTTTACACGGGGATTCTTAGCAGTACTGACCGGGACGTTCCTGACCACAAGGTAAAACACACACATGTGCGCGGGCCGGACCATGGTGCGCAGAAGTGTGGTTCTTTATTTTTGCCATGCTTCTGTGCACCACTCAAGAAAGTTTTGAGTAAAATCGTCCATGTAAATATCTCAGCAGCGTTCTAGAGCGTGCAGAATTTCCGAGATCCGACGGTCCTCACATGCCTTCCACGCTTCGCGCTGCTGCTGCTGCTACTCTGTGTTGGAGTAGTTATATATGTTCTGATAGCGTTGCATGTTATCCTATGGTGTTTATATAGTGTATAGTGAATCAAATTACTATTTTTTCGATTAGCTTATTCAGAAATGTTGTCCGTTCACATTGTAAAAGGAAAATTATAGCAGTGCATGGAATTAGTGCCACAACACTATACCAAGAGGAAATGGAGAAGAAATAATGCACTGTTTCGGGTAAAAAGTTACAGACAAAAATATGATCACATGCCGCTGTTGAAGGTATTAAAGGAGAACTATTCTGATGACTTCCCATACCCCTCATTTCAAAAATTTTTATTAGTATACACAGAACTTTTAAGTTTCCATAGACTAGGGCATTCCCTATATATGGAAGGGAAACTCCCTCACCATAGCCCAGCTCTAGAATGAGTGTTCACCATTTCCAAATACCGCCCAGCTGGTCACTATGTCCACTTGCCACAAAACTCCATGTGTAAATGCGAGCCACACTTTTGCTTGTAGCGTTCCAAACCACGCTTTTGCACGCAATCCAAACTTCCCTTCAGACGTGCATTCATTATCATTTCCGGCAAACTTTGGGCATGCAAAACTTGCAAAAATTTAACATTTTAAAACTACAAAATTTAAGATAGATATGTTGGCCTTAAAAAGCAGTTATTCTAAAAAATTAGCTCTTTAAAAAAACGTGAACAATTTTTTATTTAAAAATGAGTAGCTTTTTAATAATTTGTACTTGAAACTTATAAAAAATCAACTTATAAAAAAAATATTTTTTTTCCAAAACTGCTTCAAATTTATCCTTCAATTTGGCCTAGGCTTTAAAGTCTGAAGTAAAAGAGGCCATACACATACTAGTCACTATTTGCTTATAACAAAGTTGATTCCAGAACTTATTACTAACCAAGTGGTCCCAGAGGCTTGCGGACAAATTTATTTTGCTTATAACAATCTTCTATGCGCCGAACAAGTCTAGGCATCCATTCTCCATAAATTGATAAATTATCAGTCTCTGATTTTAATTTCTCCAACTGATGTTTCTTCATCCCTGGAGAGAGAAAAAAAAGGGGGGGGAGCAAAAATTAAAAAAATAATAGTTAAGAAATAACATTTTCAACTGAAAAATAATTCTTACTGATGTCATTCTCTCTCCTTTTTTTATCCATTTGCAATGAAGATACTTTTCCACGCAACTCATATGCTTCATCTCGAAGTTGCTGTTGTTCCAATTCTGTGCTTTTTATAACGGAGTCATATTTACCAAGTTCCATATTACATTTCTCAACTTCTTCAGTTAATCTCTTCCTTTCTTGCAAGTTCTCTTGGGCACCTCTGTTAAAATCAGAGTAATTATTTTCATTTGTACAATATTCCTAATATCTACAAAAAGTGTCTTAGGGTTATGAGAGAAATTTTCCAGACTGATAGGTCGTGGTCTAGTTGGCATTGAAGAGTCGAACGTTTCGTCTATGTCTGCGATGGACATCTTCAACGGCGGCAGGGTTGCGGACATAGTGTCCTCCCCTCCGACTATAGAAGCTACAGCCGCACAAAGCATGGCGCCAGTCGCCAGTCAGCTGCCGCCCCAGACCCTACCGCAACTGAGGATGTCCACCCAGTCATAGACAAAACGTTTGGCCCTTGAATGCCAACTAGACCACGGCCTACCAGCCCGGAAAATTTCTCTTATATTGACTCCGGCTGTGAAAGCCTACGATTGCTATCTAAGAGTTATTTACATAAACCTCGGATTTGGGTTAAGTTTTATTCACAAGGAAGTAAAGATAGGTCCCAACCCCATTAGCATTAGAAACAATACCTCCAGTGAATGAAGCATTTAAATCTCACGATTCCGGCCAATTATTTAAACTTCCATCAATAATTTTTGGGTTCAGTTTTAAAAAATGCTTACATACTTGTCGTGAAAGAACACTGGATATGACACAACAGGCATGACTATAAATATGCTGCTCAGTTTCAGTGTATGTGAGTGGTTGATATTACTGTTAGAAGTTAGGAGATTTCAAACATGGCAAATGAAATGGTCTGCGTAGATTCAAAGGGTAATGTATCTGTTCCTTCAGATATATTAACAGGAGGAGATTTCGCAGTATCAAAATTGTTGAGTTGCCCTTTATAGTGCCAAAAAACAAATATGAATGTTTTGAAAATAAAAGATTTGAGAGTGAGATGTATTTCAGAGCTTTTTCCTTGCACATTTCAATACAAAATGAAAATCCTTATTTCTTTTAGACATAATGGTATATTATTGATAGCCCCTTCATTGTAAAAGAAATTGCTAATGATACATATATGTATTTAACTGCATTTCTGCGTGAATACATACTGTATATGTATATATCTGCATGGATGTTTCTGGCAAAAATCTTTGTTGCTATCATGATTAAAATACCACTTTAATTCAAGAAAATCAAGATTTTTGGTGCGATTTAAAATCACACTAAAACAAAGATTAAAAATTAAATATTAAAATTCCAACTGACCAGATTTTAATCACAGCAATGTGTAAAGAACCTAGAAGACAAGGATTACATATAACTTAATATTTAAAGAAATTCACGATTAAATAATCAAATTAGCAGTCACCTGTGCTTTTCGACTTCATGTTTTACAGCATTGCAATCTTGTTTGTACTTTTCTTTTTCTTTCAAGAGATGCTTATATTTTTGAAGAGAATTTTTGTAAGCTGAATGTCGGTCTTTAAATTCACTAGTGGCTTTCTGTAGTCTTTCATTTATGTCCTTTACTTTTCCATCCATTTCACCAATTTCAGCTTTAGTTTCTCTAAAACAATTTATTTTTAATGTATGTAATTTCATTAACAAATATAGTTAATTGAAGTATATTACAAGTTTTTTTTGGAGAGTGATTGAGAGATGAAAGTGAAGAAAAATAATTTAATAATAGAATAAAAGGAGGAAATAGAAATACTTTTGTGCCTCAAGCTTCATTTTCAACTCTTGTTTTCTCTTCTCAAGTCTGTTTTTGAGAGGTTGTTTACTTTCTTTTTCCTTGTCAATCTTACTCTGCATGTTTGCTAATACTTTTTCTTCATCACGAGCCTGAAACACCATACATCATATGAAAATTCATCAAAATAAATAAATTCTCATTACTAAATTTAAAAAAAAAAAAAAAATCTTTGCTTCCAACAGATTTAACAATAAACTCCTATACCAATCATATTCCCAGAAAATTCTTTTATTGTTAGATGTTTCCACAACCACGTCTGTTATAAGATTTGTTTTACATAACTTCCCAGAATTACAATTTTGTTACAAAATAAATGAATCTCAGATTCACTGTTTTTATATGATCATAATGCTCCAAGTACTAAGCATGCAGAAGGCTCTTAATGTTTCCCTTGAGCTTTCAAAGATAATTTAAAATTATCACTAAAGCAGTGCACTAGCTAAATCTCTATGGATATAAAAGGTTTACCCTGAAGAAAAAAAAAAAAGAAATCCCACACATTATAAATATTATAATTTTACAATCAAAATTTAGAAAACCATAATAAATCCTGATTTGCACACAGTTGCACTTTAATGATCACTTCTCAAGACATACAATAGATTCGTAAGTAATGGTTAAATTAAATCTGCCAATTATTTGGTCATTATTCCGAAGAGATAAGAAAAATAAAGAATAACTTTAAATCCAGTGATAATTTTCACCCTTATCCCATTTGGTTAACCAGCTAGAAATACATAAATTTAAAACTGTCTGGACTACACCAGAGCACTGCTTGAGCAAGCGTGCTATTTTGGACCAACAAATCCTGAGCGCCACTCTGTTTCAAAGCTTATGCTAAGGAAACGGGGAGGTTTAGCCGAGCACCATTCCTTTATCATCAGTAGACATCAGATGTTAATCTACTAAAAATTTAAGTATTAAATACCTAAAAAGGCACAATTTGTTTTTTAAATAGGCACCGAAAAGGCATTAAAAGTGTAAAACTAGAGGGAAAGATAGGAATATATTTCACTGCACTTGCATTTAAAATTAAACCCTTTAACTACTATGGGCCGGCCGACTGGGAGCTGAGCTTGCTCACACATAGTGCAAGACATCTCAGTTATCAGTAAGTCCTAGTAATAGCTGAAAGCACGTCTGCACAGACGAACTTGTCCATAGGTTCCTGGGACATTACGGTTTTGCATACGATCTCATTCAGAAGCTCCCAGACACACTGACTGAGAGTAATAACTTGCCCAGAGGCCACCCCACATGGAAATATTCTGCGTATCAACTGGTCTAGAGCAGTCAAAGGATTAATGATGTTAGTGAAGTGCTGACTATTGAGAAACACCTGCTTTTTTGCTGATGTCACAATGATTACAGTTATTAAGTCATTTCAAGATAAGATCAGGCTACAAGTCTTTAGATAATTTTGCTAAATGATCAACACATCATATCTGGAAAGAGTTATTACCTTGGAGATCTTGGTGTTTATGTTCGATTTTAAAATTCTTTTGGGGACCATATAAATTATTTAGTCAATAAATTCAATTAGACACTCGGATTTATTAGAAGAACATGTCAAGACCTGAACTCTTCACAGATTTTGCGTACCCTCAATATCATACCATTGAGACCCATTCTCATGTACTCATCCCTTATTTACCATGCTTTTTGAAAGAAATTTCTAGGCTTGGAACGTTGAACAGAAGTTGTTCCCTTTCTGGTCCTGCTTTGTTGCAGAATTATTTTTTGACACATGAATTTGGTACGATTGCTTCAAAATTAGAGATGCCTACATGGAAATTGCTTAGAAAGTATGTTGATGTACATTTTTTGGTTAAACTTCTAAACAGTAAATAGATGCTCCCTTTTGCTAAATGAATTGAGTTTCAAAGGGCTGCAATTTAATTCCAAAAATCATGATTTTAATTTTTCATATTTTGCATAAACAATACAGAGAAGTGTTCCCCTGAAACAATCTAATTAGCAGAATATGTGAAATTGATGATGGTATTGACATGGACCCAAGCCCCAGCAACATTTTGGTTCTTGAAAGCGTTGTGAGGAGTTTGCTTTTTGAATATGGCTAATGGCAGCTGTCCTTATTAAACATTGCATATTGTTAGTTTGTCAGTTTATGTACGCATACTGTAATTATCTATGTATTTATACTAGATTTTATTTTATAGTTTTAGTTCTATTCCAATATGTAGATTTGTATTCTGAAATGTACCTCACAAACAAATTGTGCATTAAATTATAAATATAATTGTGATTGTGATATGTTTGTTTTGATATTTGTGATACTTTAGCCTGATAATGGTGATCTTTCGACATTTTAATGTTCATAAAGTTTAATAAATAATATTAACAAAAACATTAAAAGTCTGTTTAAAAAAAGTATATATACATACAAGGGCCCAGAAATATTCATTTTCCAAGTTCACTGCTTCCCGTCTCACTTCTTCTAATTTCCTTAAAGCATTAACTTTCTTTTCCAATTCATCTATTTCGTTTTGAAGGCTCCTCATACTCTGCAACAGACATCCAATTCAAGTGAAGCCAAAATAAGAGATTTCAGAGAAATATTAACTTTAACTTTATTGTGTGTTTGTAAGACCTTTATTAAAAAATAAGTGTTATTTTGAAAATTATCAATTCTTTTTTTTACCTGAATAAATATAAAAGAAAATGAATGCTTAGAAAATAAATATAACCACACAATGGTTTTTACACAATTTTTGGCATAGTGGAATTCTCAACCAAGAATTCTGAAGAATCGACTCTTCTAAGAATGCAAATAATTTTTCTTCAATTTTTGAGCCTCATTCCTTCTTTAGTGCCAATATTTACATCTATATTTTTGAATAATCTCATTCCTAAGACATCATTTAAAACTCTTTCTTGTGAGAAACATTTTGATAATTTTTCTTAATGTATTGGTCAACTTGACTCGTAAAGTTCGTTCAAATTAAAGCACATAAATTTATTTGGATCATTCTGTACAATGATGTGAACTTTTATCATGAGAGACTTATTTTTCCCTAAAATATACAGGGCAAGTCATGTGTAACGTATTAGCCAGCGTGCCTCATGGCATCTATTTGGGGACGCTTGGTAGAGGTTAGCTCGCCACAGGGAAGAAGGGTTTTTCCCGTAAAGGGAAGAACGCGGGAACGGGAGACACAAGGCGTTTAGAGTCCTTCCGCCTTTAGAAACTTTTTCACTGTTATAACAAGGAGGGGGTTGCGTACTTTCTAGTAGCCACGTGGCCTCGCCTGATATAACAGAGTGTACCGAACCAGTGGGTTGGGTTCTGGAGACAGCGGAGACCTCGTGGATGTGCACAAAACTTGGCGCACGACGTGGCATAGCGAGCCAGGCTCGCGGAGCTCGAGTTCACTTAGTTGAGAAGCCGCGGACTTTAGGTCCTTTGGTGACTGCGGTCCACGGGGAGCGATGCCTGTGTCGTGCGTGCTCTCGAGGGAAGAGTGGTTCACGATTCAGCCGAGTCTCATCGCGGATAGATCGCTCGCTGCGATCGAGACAAACCAGCCGTTGTTGCGCCAGAACGGACTTTGTGTCCAGCGTTGACATTCCGCACGGAAGCTAGCGCTTATTGCGCGCTTTCAAAAGTGGCGAATGCCACAATCAAAACCATCTTCAATCGGGTTTTGGATCGCCTCCCGCGATAAGGGATAGTTAGTCTATCAGATGCTTAGGGTGTAAGAGATTATTCAAGTGTATTATTTTGTTTGTTTTCTTGTTTAATAAATATATTTGTTAATGAAAGCTCGTCTGTGCCTGTTGGTCGCTGTGAGTATCCATGTCACACATGTCAATAGAGCACATCTTGCCATTTTTAAACTATTGTAAATATTTCAATCAGTTTTCACAGAACTAGGAGAGAATTAAATTATTAGAGAATTAAAGAATTAATAATGTAGTAGTCATTTCTTTTTTATTACTTCTATTTTATGAGATTTTGAGGCAACTTGTTTTTTCCCAAATAGAACTATCCACATTTTCTGAGTCTATCGTCGGTACAATTCCAATTTAATAAATATTTTTTTGAGTCATTTGCAATTAACAGAAATTTTGAATATACTGCTCTACTCACCGGCCTTCTATGCAGGTCTCGCAGAGCCTCCCTATTAACATGTGCACAGTAAATATACTTTGAGAAGGTGGTCAATGTTTGACCATATGAAACAAATTCAAAATTTCACAAAACAGTTATATTATTTTTTCTGCTTTCTGCCCTCTTAATAATAATAATAATAATAATAACAATAATAATAATAACAACAACAACAACAACAAGAACGACTACAGCTGATCCGAGTATTCCAGATTGCAAAGGCAGTAGTGCCGTGGTAGTCATGAAATCGCCTATTAAAGTTTCAATCGAATTTTTAAAAAATGTATAGGACACTTGACTGTCTGGGATGAGCCGCGTCTCAGTTGATCGAACCGACGTTTGGGCCATCGTGTTGGGGCCTTAAGAGCTATACTGCTGAGTTTAGTATACTGCTGTAGTTTTATGCTCATTTCTGTCTACTCCCTGGTAGAGAAGTGGTTGCCAAAGAACTGAATCTTCACCCACATGACCACTGTGTGTTTCATTATACGCTTCTATACACACCCCTCACAGGTTCTGCACAATTTTGCAAAAATTGCTATCTCAAAAAACAGAACTTTTTAAATTATTGTTTTAAAATTGAAAATAGCACCGCATTCACGAAAAGATGTCGAGAATGTAGAAGTTTTTCAAGAAAAGTACCTCCCAAAATAAAAATATCCATTTCAAACATGCAGGGCCTTGGTTTTGTTCTGATAAATCAGGGAATATTAATTTTGGAGAAAATCACTGTTAAGGCACTAGCATTAACAACAGACAGGTGTTTCTGCTCCTCAGGTGACTTCCAACCCCTCAGGCCAAAGGTCCTAGAGCTCCAGGAGGTTGCTATCGGGGCAAAAACATCTACTTAACACCCTAGATATACAAATAACTGTTGTCACACAATTTACTTACTTCTTTCCTCAGCTTTAAGCGGCTAGCTACAGTTGCCTCACAGCTTAGTGTCTTAGCATGCAACTGATCCACATCTTCTAATTTTGTAGCTTTCATGAAAAGTGTGTATTTCAATTTGGGATCAGCAGTAGCCAAAAATGTTCTAGCTGTATCTTGATTGAGCACAGAAATAGGATTATCTACTTGAATATTAAAAGCTGTGATTATTTTCTCAAGTTCTTCACGTTTAGTACTTATTATTTCCCCTAAAAAAGAAAGAAAGAAGGAAAAAATTGAAGAATTGCAAACTACAAACATAACAAAATAAGAGCATTACATAAAAGTCTTATAACACATATGATAACAATGACTGCCAATTAATGTAATACAAAATTTCAGCAATTTGAGCGAGACTACAATAGTTGTATCATGTCAATATTCTTAAGACAGCAAATGAAATATATAATGTATTAAAGCTACAATTATTACCTTTTGCAGATTTAAATTTGTATGAAGACGGAGTTGAACCCGCAAATATGCTACGAGCAATAATAATCTTAGATCCATAAACTTCTGGTTTGTATGCATACAAACCTTCATTGCTCAGGGTTACTTGGACCAATGCTGAATTAGCTCCATTTTTAATAAAATCTTGCATAAAGAAATACACATGAATAAACAATTTTAAAACATGCATAAAGAAATATTAAGAAAATAATTAAAGAGGTAGAAAACACATTAATATATTTTTGTAAGAGAGAATGTTATATTTGCAAAAGAAATCTTTGAAAACATTCTCTACGAATTTTGAAATGAAAACTTAATTAACACAATCTACTAACTCTAGAAATGAAAAAACCTGGAAGAAACAGGTTTTAACTCATCTGAAAGTAATGCATTCTACATTAAAAATATTATACATATTATTTTCATTATCAAAGATAATAATCTTTCTTTAGAAATGTGACTTCAATGTAAAGTAGGGTCTCCTTTAACCATGGCGGACAAATTGACTACCTCCCAACATACAGGGAACCTTAGTCATTGGAAACTGTCATAGATTAGATGACGATAATAAAATAAAGGAGTCTTCATATTTTAGTGGAATGCTCAGCAGTGTAACCAAGTGCAACTCTACCAAATAATGGAGGGATTAGGGAAAGACAATGTGTATTGTACTAACAAGCATTAAACTAAATGTTTCAATACAATGATACTAAGAACTGAGAATATCTAAAGACAAATGTGTTTCAACAAGCATGGACGGATTGACGTTTATTTTACATTTCCAAGTATGTGAACTACTATAGTAATTGATCCTGTAAGTGTAGTACATGTTTTTGTCGACGACTGCGACGAAGAGGAAGGAAGGAGGGAGGAAGAAGAAGTGGTGGTGGTCTTCTCAAGCTGGATGATGAGATCCGGCAGCACACCGGCTACATGGCAGGTTGCAGAGGTTTACGCAACCAAGTATCTCCCACCAAAGGGGGGGGCAAACTCTCTAAGCACCTGAGTGGTCTCCGGGCATATGTGGTAGTGTAGTTGGGTACGTGTATGGAAGTAAGGGACGAGATTAGGACAAAAAAGAAAAAGGGATAATCGTCCTCTGAGGCACATTTATTAGGATACTCACTCTGTCATTTGCCTGGTGTTGATCAGAAAAAACACTTATCAGAGCAGCTGGCAGTTAGAATTCTCTAGGCTGTGGATTACATCTTAGAAACTGTACCAAGCAGGTGAGCAGGTCCACTTATGTTCTATATCTTTGGAAATTGAATTTTAGGGCAGACCAACTTCTTCAAATTAAAAAGACATGTCAGTTATCCCCCCTGCCCCTAACTCTTTTATGAAAAATGATCAGATAGCTACCTTGTTTTATAGAAATCTCATATTAAAGAACCTTGGTTAACAACTCATACTGTTGATATGTAACAAAACCTACCTTTTAGTGAAGAAGCTCTGTTAGTAATAGAAGCTTTGCAACCCAAAGCAATGACTACAGCTGCTAAGATTGCACTTTTGCCACTACCATTTCTTCCCACAATGAAATTTATCTTGCTGTTCAAAGTAACTTCTAACGCAGAGTGGCACATGAAATTCTTCATGTAAACTTTTTCAATGTAACCTGCAACCTTTTCCTGGACAATAAGAAAAGGAAGATATTAATCTTGTTTGCAACATTACACAGGCAACAACAGTTAACATTTCAATAAAATAAAAGTTTCTGAGACACACAAAACAACTTCATTTTCATTTACCACTGCTTCAAAAGAAAACCATCAATTCCTAAAACTTTTTTGTTTGTTTGTTTTTAAAATTGGCATTTATGTCAATGAAAATTGAACAACTGGCTGAGCATACAGCTTCAACACATTCTAAAGGTCTCTCCCTCCTGACAAATACAGACTACTTTTGTAACTTTTCAAGCAGAAAGAGAGTCCTATTGTGAAGTGCTGGGGTGTCCAACTTGCAAGGCCTCAAGGGCCATAACTAACATCTTTAATATGGTTACAGGGCATATTTTCATTACTCAGATGATCATCATCTGACTTCCCCGCAATGTTGTTCTTGGCAGTTAGCCCAGCTGCTTTGAAACAGTGTGTGTGTGTGTGTGGAGGAATGGAACCATGCCTAAGATCAGGCAGCACCATGCATAATGCAGTAAAACATTGGGATGATTTTGAATTTCTAAAATTACTAGAAAAAAATATTCTTAAATCTAAACATAACCTTTTTTTACATTAATGGGGTGTTGCCCTCAGTAGGACATATGCGCTAGGTGCAAAACATTCTGGCTCCACACGGATGCAAGGGACTTCCACTTTTGACTAATAACCTTTCACGGGCCACAATAAATGGCATCCTGGCCCTATGCAGCCAGCAGACCACCTGTTGGGCACCTCTGGTGTAGCAGGTAGAGTGTAACTTAAAAAAATTGAATATTGAAGCATGATTGGTTAGGATGCATCTAAGAGCTCGTATTTGTGTTATCATCACCCTGTCCATGTTCCATATATTGGTTACTCCCATATTTCTATACCATATTGAATGTGAGGATGTTGAATGCAGTAATATAGAGTTATGAGTATTTCCACTGTCATATACTTTGAGAGATTATGCAATAAATAAATGTTGGAATTAATTTTTTGCATATGGCATAAATTAGTTCATTACATGTTAGATTTTGGTCAATGTAGATTCCAAGAAATTTGTGACTTTGAACTCGTACATTTTGATTGTTTATATCAATACTATTTATGTTGTAAATTTGTTTTTATTTGTGGTGATTAAATTGACTCATATGTTTATCTACCATATGTTTATAGATATCTAGAGATTTGATGCATTGCATCTGTTAGATTTTCTTTTAAAGCAATTGAGTCTTTATTACTATTGATTAACTTCATATGCATATGAGATCAGTTTATTTTTTGATGACAGAATTCATTCATGTATATTAGAAGTAGTGGCCCCAAAACTGAACCTAGCAGGACTCCTGCTGTAACTAGGACATTAGATTTCACTTTATCTATGAATTTTTCTGTTTCTCGTTGTATTTGAATACTTTGTGTAAGATTTTTTAGGAATGACTTCAGTAATTAATGAATATTGTCTCTTATTCCAAAATGTTCTAGTTTTTCAAGAAGTAGTTTATGAAAGACACTGTCTAAAGCCTTCAATAAGTCCATAAATATACCTGCAATAAAAAAGTTATTTTCTAGATTACTGATTATTTCATGAATAAAATCAGCAACTGCAGTAATAGTGGATTTATCCTTCCTGAAACCGTGTCGTTCAATTCTTAACAAGTTTTTTCCTTCAAAAAATTGAACATTCTGACTGCAATTACTTTCTTGAACAATTTAGCAAAGCATGAGTTATTGGTCTATAGTTTTCAACTTCAAGAGCATTCTTTTTTTAATATTGGTTTCACAATACTAATATTCAGTGAATCAGGGAAAGCCTATTCATCTAGTGAATTGTTGAGTAAATTAACTAAAATGTTTATTAGAGAATTCTTGCATTTTTTCAATATTTCCGATGTAATTTTATCCTATCCACTTTATTTAGTGTTTTCTCAGAATTTCAATTTATGTGGCATTTGTACTGGATAGACACAATCAATGTTTTAACTCTGGAATTTAGACATTTCTTTGCAAGGGTTTTCAGTACCTGTGTTTAGGAAATGATTATTAAACACTTCATAGATCAGCATTTGATCTCTCACTAACTCGCTTTCATGGTGCAGCTTTTTATGATTAGGTTTAGTTGTTTGTTTACCTGCATTATTTACAATATTCCATAATATTTGGGATTTATTTTTTGCATTTCTTACTTTGCTATTAATTCTGTTTGCTTTTGCAAGTCTTAATTCTTTTAGATACAATTGTCAGCAGCCTTTATAGCGTTTTTTATGTTCATTTATTGTAGTGCATTTGAATAATGTATATGATTATTTCATTTTTTAAATTTCAATAACTATTTGATAGCTTATTTTTTTAAATTTATTTGATGATTGCTAGTTTTCTGATTGGACATGTATAATTTTGGTGATTTTGTAATATTTTAAGAAATATTCTGTAACAGCTAGAATGGGAGGTGGGATTATTGAAAATCCGGCTCCAAATTATTTCTGTACACTTTTTGTACAAATTATTCAAATTTGTATTTTTTGGTTTTTCCAAAATTGCACAATTGCATTTGTGAGCAAAAGTGCTTCACATAACTTCAAATGAAATTGCTCAAAAACTGTTCAGTGAAAATGAGCTCAAAATTGTGCATTTGCAGAAACACTCGAATGACATTTTCTCAACAACAGCTCCGTACTATTCAATGAAAATATGCATTAAAAAAAAGGTTTTCCTTTTTTATAATATTATTATTAAAGAAATATTTCAATTCAACAAATAGAGTATCCAAAAATTAAGAAAATTGTGAAAATATGTTTGGCACCGATACGTGGAAGCTGACATGAGGGGGGAGGGGACATTACTAAAAAGCTAGTCTACAATAGTCCTTAGAAAACTAACTAGCGCAAGAAATTCTGTGTCATTCTTTAGCACTAGTTTCATAAAATCATTCTATTCCAGGTTTTCGCTCCAATATTTGATCTTTTACATGGCTGTCTTCTACTGTCATTTACCTTCATACTTTATATTTTTAGATTTAGAGACAACTTTACGAAGTGTTGACTAGTATAAGTATGATGTGACAAAACTATTTTTCTAAATTTGTGTCTTAGTGTCCTGCATCCCTTAATACCTTATTGATTGAGAAATTGGAAGTTAAATTTAAACATAAATATAAATCCGAAATCAACTTGTAACTGATTGAATTGATAAATTGCTGACTAGAAAGACCCCATCAAGTTTCAGGTGTCAACCAATAATGAAGAAGCACTCTGTAACCGTTCCAAAAATTGATGTCACACATTTTCTATACTCTAATCCAAAAGTACCGATTATATTTGTGAACTATGAAGAAAATGTGTTGCACTTTAAAGCCTATTCCTTGCAAAAACTTACTTCGTTCCCGATGGTACATGCAACTTGACTTCGGCTGGTGCTGGCTCCATAATTCACGAGACTGGTGCTTAAATCACTTGTAGAACTCCTTTGCAACTCCTCTGAATGGCGTTTGGTTTTTTTCTTCGACGTATCATCATTTCCCAACTCGCTTGAAGAACTTCGTTTTGCACTAGGCATTGCCGCCAAAAACGTACCTATATTTCTTGATACTATCAATCTGCTTGAAAACGATGAAATGTTTACTTCTCAACAAAATATTACAAAGTAGCACAATGTCATGCCAATGTACATCACCAAACCCTGATACATGTAACAAATTACAATGGCTTCTTAAATCGAAACATAAACCCGCCAAAACAGTCAACAACGGCACCTGCCACACGTTCCCATCCACGCTGCACCACAACAACAAAACCAAAAGAAACAAAACTGAACGAAACAAGCTGGAAACAAGCTTGATCAGCAGCTATTGCAACCAGCTGCACCAACCGCTGAGCAGACGGACTCGCCCAATGCCGCCAACATGTGCCAAAAAGGACTTTCAGGTCTGGTGAGGGCAGCACCGTCGCCTCTGGGTGGCAAGCTGTAGACTGCTATTACCTGTGAGCTTATGGCTAAACACGACATAGGTGTCGACTTTCTTTTTAAAAGACGTAATCACTCTTCGTTGGAGGCAGGGGGTGCTCTTGCGCATTGTGTCCTATTACAATGAGCATCAGACACCAGTTTGAGTCACAATATTAGCGGGAATTTTAAATGCAGCCAGATACTAATTATCGTCTCGTTACAAGACATTGGGCTAGTTTCACCAACAGCCGAGTAAAGTTGAAAGTAGTTACTCGAGAGTAACCATTTACTCTAAGATAGTAACTCTCGAGTAGAATATGAGCATTTCACCATGCTTCTATAGGATTATTTTACTTTAGAGTACATACTCATCGATGTACTCCGCGAATCAGCTGAACGCGCAATATTTGAGAGCGATTCAAATGGCAGCGATCGAGAGTGACGCTGGGAACCACTGCGGACCAACGCGAACCTTTGATTAAATCCTTATATTCTATCATTCATTTCAGATTCGGAGTTCTTGGCGTTATTATCTTGTGCGGTATTATCGTGATTTGAGTTGACATACTTTATTTCTTAGTTTTTGTATCTTTATTTCGTAATAAATATTCATTTTTCATTTCTAAAGATGAGTTACTATTTTGTTAGCAATGCAAAAAAAAAACAACAAATTTGCAGTTTGTTTACCGATGGCGATGCAAATAAATTTTCTGTAACTCGGGAAGAAAATGTTTAGTTTTTCAAATGTTGCTGATCTCGCGTTTTTCTAAATTTTGTTATTATTATTATTATTATTATTATTATTATTATTATTATTATTATTATTATTATTATTATTATTATTATTATGGTTTTTTAACTTGAATTCAACTTTGAAGAATTTATAGTTAAAATGTTGGAAAGAGATTCTGGAACTCAAGAGAACGTTCGCAAATGACCTCCCCCATACGTCACATACAGTTTTTCTAAATAAATCAATATTTCTTAGTACTTGTAGTCCCCATAGTTATTATTTTTCTTTTTGTTATCGTACACGGTAAGTAATACCTTTATTTCGTATCCACATGGGCGAAGAAGACATTTACAAGTTCTCTACAATGTATGTGATGAAGTTAATAGCTGATTTGGTCAAACATAACCTCGATCTCGATCGTCATAATTGACAAAATCTCGATCGTCATAATTGAAACCAATCCATTCTCTCTCGCCCCCTTTGTCTTCGCACTAGTGGATAATATTCCGAATCTTTGCTGGAATCGACTTCAAGTACAATCATTCGTAATCGTCGAGCCGTAACAACACTTCGGAGATACATGCACGTTGAAAAGTGAATTTACTCCGTACTTTACCCGACGGATTTTCGTAGTGTAAAGTTACTCTCGAATTTATTCTCGTATAAGCGATTTACACTCGAGTAAAGTGTTGGTGAAACGCTCCAAGAAGTTACTCTCGAGTAAACATGATTTACTCCAGAGTAAACGCTTACTCTTTGTTTGGTGAAACCGGCCCATTGCAACATATTAATGAAGCATGACCTTTAAAAATTGCCTTTTATATATACTCGTGTTATTTTTGGTTGGTTACCGTTAAAAACTGTCACTTTGTACCACTTTCAAAATGTTTCTCAACACTACTCACTCTCCATGCAACATGGCGGCGAGCATCTGGGCGTGGTTTTCAAACGAAGTGCCCGTGTTGTCACGTGGTTCGTGACGCAAACTGGTGTTGCGTATTTCCACCATGGTTGGAAGTTTTCCTCTGCCTATAATGGTTTTAAAAGTTTTGGTTTTGTTTCGGGACACTTTCTTGCAGTGAGATGTCCTTTATTCTCTAAAATAAAGTTGTATTTGCTAGATAACCAAGTTGAGTCCGATAGTGGACCGGGGCAAAAGGCGCCAGGAGAGACTGAGTAACCTTTTTTTATCCTACTGTTCCCCCAAAACCAGAATGTTAAATTATAGCATCCTCGGACAAAGAAAACAAAAGTACAGTTCTGCTTTAAAGCAAGAAAAGTTAGATGGTGTGACGTCATGGGTACTCACAGCGAACACAGACACAGAGCTTTCATATAACAAATATTTATTTACAAAGAAAACACAACAAATATTTACAATGAATTTCCTTCTTACACCCTAGCTCTGATAGACCTACTATCCCCTGATCGCGAGAGCGATCCAAACCCGATTATGATCGGTTTCGATTGTGGCATTCGCCACTCCTACTTCTGAAGCGCGCAGAAAGCCAAGCTTCCGTGACCGGATGTCACACTGGGACACAAAGTCCGTACTGGCGTACCAACTGATAGTTTGCCTCGATCGCAGGAGCGATCTTACCTGATTGAGAATCGTCGTGAGTCGTGGCACTCAACCACACTCCTCACACAGCATCGCTCCCACGTGACCGCAGTCACCCAAGGACACAAAGTCCCCCACAGGCTCGTCAACACATGACTTGCCTCGCGAGCCCGGCCGGCCGATGCACCGTCGTGGCGCCAAGTTTTGTGCAAACGCACGAGGTTTTCCCACTGTCTCCAGAACCCACCCACTGGCTCTGTGTACTCCCTTATATAGTCGAGGCTCACGTGACCTACTACGTCACGCCGCCCCCGCCGCGCTCTATTGTTGGCCATTGAGGGTTTGGGTCTCCGTTTCTTAAGACCGGAAGACTCTCAAGCTTCGTGTCTCCCGTTTCCGCGTTCTTGCTTTAAGGAATAACCCTTCTCTCCCTCCTGTGGCGAGGAGTTTCCTCTTACTAATCCCTTACCAAGCGTCCCCAAATAGATGCCACGAGGGACGCTGGCTAATACGTTACAATGGTTATTTCAAGTCAACAGTATATAGGTTACAGGTTCCGCCCATCTTCGTAATTTGCAAATCACACGTCTAAGGATGTTCCTATCATTCTCATATGTTTAACATGGAAACGTATGTAGATTTTCCACAGTTTTGCAATAAAATAAATAAGCCACTAAACGCCGCTCGCCGCGACGCAGGAGGGGGATGACTACACCACAGCGCACATTGGGGCCAGAGAGGCGAAAAATTGGCAAAAAGTATTTTTAAGCGGTTTTTGGGATTTGTTGAAATAAAACAATAATAATTAAATGACTTATTCATTTGTTTAACTTTCAACTATTTAATTATATAACTTCAGAATCATAACTTCCATCATGTGACTCTTCTTCCAGAAGTGAATTTCTACTTGAAGACATTGATGTAACTTCTAGGTCAAATGCCTTTGTTACAATTTTCTCTATTCCATTTCTGAAGTCAGTGGGTCAGATGCAATTAACACCCTGAAAAGCAGTTCCTTGTAAGTTTGCTCTCTGGATATTTTCTGGGGAAACTTTATATTTTTTCTTCTCTTTTTTATTTTCGGTGTGTTCAATAACATCACACAGATCCCTTCTTGTTAATAAAGAGATCCTCACTCAGTACCAGATGATGAACAAAGAATTAAAAAAAATAATATTGTTGGTACAAATGCTAACAAAACTAGGTGTGAATTATTATAAAAAAATACCTTAAAGCAAAATAGGGCAAACTTTGATTAATGTTTTGAATTCTAGATGAATTCCAGAATCAGGTTCAGTTGATATAACAGCCCGAAAATGCCCGGAAGGTAACTAAAAGACAATATGAAAAACCGGATTTAAAAATTTCATTCTGTTGTGACACGTGAAGTTTCTACTTTATTATTCTTTACTAATTTACCGAATTATTATTCATGAAATATGTCTTTTTACTCATACAGATTTAAAATACGCACATCAAAGAATTGTATCCATATTACATACGAATCTTCTGCTCGAGAGAGTGAAACTATTTACATCGAAAAACACACCTCTCTTCTTTGTGCGGGATCGAAGAAGTGCGCCGCGCGACACTTGAGCTAACTTGCACTGAAAGGAGTGGCGGGATTCCCCACCCCTTTCCTGATCGGGAACGATGAAGGAGACATTTTCCTACCCCCTTCATGTGAAATGGAGCTTCTGAAGCATATTTTGATTTTGGACTTTTTGTCAACTTTCCCCTCTTTTGGCCCACAGTGCCGTGAGATTGCAAAGCAAAGAATGCGCGCTGCAGCACGAGCGAAGGGCAGATTTTGTCTTTCTGTAGACTGTAACATACCTCTTTCATTATGATCGTGTGCAATTTTCCCTTGTTAAATAGCCAGACCATTTGTTGGGGCAAAATAATGTCATGTACCAAGTAGATCATGTTGCATCGTACCTCCACTTTTGATCGAGAGTGAGAGTAAATCAGAGAGAGAGGAGAGGGAGGATAGAGAGAGAAGAGAGGAGAGAGAGCAGAGAGAGAGAAGAGAGAGGTGAGAAAGAGAGAGAACTATCAACAGAAAGCTATTAGATGTAAATAATTAGTAAGTTAGTTATGAGAGCGTGTGAGCAATGTAAGACGACAGTAATAGTGGGCAAGGCTGTAAGGCAATAGTGGAATGGAAGCATCTAATGGTGTGAATGACTAGATTCGGTAATAATTCGGTACTCATTATGCTCCATAATAGTATAATTTACAGGTAGAAGAGTGGGTTCATTATGTGGAAGTAAGCCATTAAAAATGGAAAAGAATAATCTAAGCAGGTATTGCAGAATATTAATGTTCAAATTACGTAACATTTCGTCCGTAACGAAGTTCACCTGATAACGTTTGGAGGAATAAATCCCTTCTTTTTGGATTCCAAAACAAAACAGTCTCCTCATTTATGAAGTGATCTCAACGGCAAGGTTCCCTGACCTACAGTCTCCGCGCGACCTCCTCGCCTGCTTTCAGTTGTGGTAGAGAGGGAAAAAAAGAATGTCGTTGCGCAAGCGAGACAATGTTAAGGTAGATTTCCATACCTCTTACTGTAATCTTGTAGCCTTGCGCTTATCGTGTTCACGACTGCAGCTACCTCGGCAGCTCGGAAGACACACTGGCTGCGCGCAAACCACATCGCGCAGCGACTTCCAGAGCACAATCACTTTAGTTGTAGAAACATGTATACAGGTGATTAAGACCTAGCTGCTATAACCCGGGTCCATATCACATATGTAATGTCCAGACTAAATTTGCCAAAATTGGATACTTTTCGTCGTTTAGTTTCGTAAATAATTAGCGTTTAACTTTGGACTATGCACTTGTGCGCGTGTAGCATGGGCTACGGCAAGTGAGCGAGCGGATTCACCTCGCTCGCCACTTCTCTGGAAAACTCAACTGTTTATATTATACAAGAAGCCCCGGAAGCGAGCACAAGGCAAAAAACGCGAGGTCAAAGCAGCATCGTCCGTCGTCTGGTTAACAATTCATGCGGAAAGATTACTTCTCCACTTCCAGCGGGTGCAGCATTTGCGCCGTAGAGACGTACACATACCTGTTTGTAACTTCGTTTTCAATTCTCTAGGCATTTCCTGCTCAAATGCAAAGAAAACCTGGAATTTCGTTCAGGTGAAGCGGGTTTACAAAAACTAGCACAATTTGCATATGAGGGCCGAGGAAATCCGCATGTTGCACTTGGTGTAGCTCACCAAGAGCGATTCTGGATAAATGTGTCGGTTGGCATTGCGGATTTATCATCGGTCCTCACTTCTTATCCGAGCATTTAAGAGGCCTCCAGTTTATGAATGTTATAATTCAGGTATTTCCAACGCTTTTGCAGCTGGAGGTTCCTGAAAGACCGCGGTTATGCCCCCGAAGTCGAGGATTATGATGACCTTCGGCGCGTTGAAAGCGAGGCAGAAATAAAGGCAGTACAAATTAGGAAAGTGATGCGCGTAACGGAGGTCGTGCGGCACAGATGCCTTGCGTTCACGCAGAAGGCCATTTGAACACTTGAGCCCTCGTTACACGAGCTGAAAGTGCGAATTTTTGGCTGTGTATGGAAACATGATAAACTATACTAAATAACACTTAAAATCGTTTTTGCTTCTCTTTTTACATGTTCTTTAGACCAACAGGCAATAATAGTAACATGGAACAATATTGAATGTAATATTTGGGCTACCTTTCCTGCAAAAATGACCAATGACAAAAATCTTGTTTTTCAAAATTTTGAACAGGGTTTGCACTATTTCCTTTTACAGCCATGAATACCTGAGAATACTATATCACAGGGTCTTCTTATGAGCAACGAGGACTGAATCTCCCTGCATTGAAAATAAACTTCACAACGTTTTCAGGGGTGATTTTATCTAGCAAAAGTTCGAAAAAGATCTTCATGCAAATGACAAGGAAAAACACACAATAATACACGAAAAAATAAGTCACTTTATTGTCTTTTAGTATTTTCATTAATTACTAGAAGAACTAGACACAGAATTATCAAAACCAAAACCGTTTAACCCTTCACTAAATTGTTTTGAAATTATTCTTTCTTATTGATTCTTGATGTGAATTTATACAATTAATAAAAGAAAAAAAGAAAAAGAAACACACAAATGGATAAAGTTTATACACTTTTTCTCAAATAATGACATTAAATGCATCATTCTTTTCTTTTACTACCGTTTAAACGTTTTGAATTCCCACATCTTCAACTACAATTCCGATTTTGGATTCCTTACATCACAAGTATTTCTCCCCTTCTGATGTCAAATCATACATATCAATTTCAGATGCGACAACCCTCAATCCTTGCTTAATTTTGGCTTCTCAAATACTGAGATTTATATACATTTTTTTACGTGTATTTCGCTTTCTCATAATTCCCTTTATTAATCCTTTTTCCCGTAATTCTTAATTTAACAAAAACTTAATGTTTCTTCGTATTTATTTCCTCATCCCTATTATTTCATATTTTATTTAAATTATCTTCACTCAATCATTTTCTTCCACACATTCACTTCAAAAGAATAAATCTTTGGTACAATTGGTTGTTCACCCACTCTGAGTTGCATTATGATGACGTAAGAAAATATTAGAGTTTTACTTTCTAATTATTGGTTGCCAATTTTTAACTATCGATGATATTTATGTATGCTGCTGTACAAGTCCTTCCGCGGAGATACGCAGAACTCTGTTACCGGTGACGGCAGTTGGCGCAGAAACAGCGCGGCCCGGCACCGTCCTCATCGCCAGCATTATGGCTGACGTTCTTCTTTCTTCAACCCTTCTGCCGAGGAAATCCGATCTCCGCTAAGATATTCAACGTACACGAACGTACACGTCATCTCAGTCGTTGCGCAAGCAGAGTGGAATTACGAACAGTTATATATATATATATATATATATATATATATATATATATATTATATATATATATTATAATATATGTGATGTGTATATACATACATACATACATATATATCCTACAAAATATTACACTATATGCATATATAGGCTGTATCGAAATAAAATTGATTCAACGGATTAGGGCAAAACTATTTCAATGCAAATAAAAATCGGCACCAATCACCAATAAAAGTTTTTAAAATGGGTTTAGATGTGCCACAAACCCCATAAACACCCATTTTCGGCCATTTTCGCTAAGCTTAAGAAAATAAATATTATTTAATTGTATTTTTTATCGTGCTTGATCGGCCATTTCGAAAACATCATTTAAATTGCCAACGTTTCGGCTTTTAAGCCTTCATCAGGGCTACAAAGGTATTTTATATACACTCATCTAATAGTAGCCAAACACAGTTTTAAATAATTATGTATACATATTTGCATACCGGATTTCTCTGATTTCCGTTTCGACACGTTACTTCCATATACCACGACTCCTTGGCTCTGCAATCGCCTCATCCTTACGAGTCCTCTCCTTATCCTCTCTCATAGTCTAGGCTGCCGGCTACGTCATACTACTTTCTTTTCTTTACAATTATTTCATTGTTATGTTATTGTTTTTGACGATATTTTAAAGTATTGTCGTGGGCAAAATATACTGAAAATGCACACCAAAGGTATTTTAATCAACGGATTTTGGGCTGAGGTGGAGCTCACGTTATCCCACAACAATTTTTATAATTATGGAACATTAATAACTTAAGTCAAACAGTGTGCTACATTAGTCCAAATATGGGTAGTTTTAAGTTAAAACCATAGAAATGTACACTTTTCATGTGGCCAAAGCTCCATAAATATTTATTAAAACACTTCCAATTTAAATAAAATTAAAGCTTGAAATCTCTACTTTAAGAACCTTGCCTCGAGCAGTTTTAGTATTTCAATACACTATGCAAAAATTGAAGTATTGAAGAAGGTTTTGGCTCTTGCGCATCGTATCCGACTTTATCCAATGAGCTTCAGGCACCAATTTGTGTGACTAAATTAGAGGGAATTTTAAATGCTCAAACTATTACCTTGCTACATGTCAATGAAACATATATGAAGCCCTTTTTTAATATTACATCGTTTATTTCAATTACACCTTCATCGTGTTAATTTAGTTGGTCACCCTTGGAAATTGTCGCTTTTTCTATTTTTGACTCTTAATGTTTTATTCAGATTTCTAGGGATTCTGACAATGCTAGTGTTTATATTTTGTTTTTCAGTTACAGAAAAGTAAGGACAGAATTTATTATCAATATTAATTAAAATGTGTTATCATGGATGTAATATATATAGCAGGAGCGGATTAAGGGGTTGGACCATTATGTAAAACACAATTTAAGTACTTGCATAAACATTTTAATTATTGACATGAATTAAAATTAAAGCTACACTACATTCAATGTAAATTTACTTGTTGTCAGAACTTAAAAAATGTTCTTAAAAAAGTTCTGTGCTACCTCAACCGAACTGCCTTTCATGTTAGACAGGCTCTTAAACATGAGGGGGGAAAAAAACTTTAGTTCAATTTTAATGCGAAAACGTCTTTAAAAGGCTATTATAAAGGTGGCCGCCAGAACCAGGGACGAAAGTCCGTTTTCGTTGTTCGCAAGTATCTTATTACTGGAAATATTATCAGACGCAAATTTATATTTTATTTTCAGTCGCAAGTCCGCACGGGGAATTGGTTAGGCAAGTGATTCGGGGGTCGTCATGTAGATTTTGAAGTAATTTGGATGTCGACGACTTATTGCATTGGAATAAATGACGATGGAAGAAAATGCTTTTTGCGGGAGGAATTTGCGCAATGTGATGTTTTTTTCGCTTAAATCATCAGCGCCATCATTGTAATCATCATCAAGATACAGACCTTTTCCTAAAAAAATTGTACGAATATTGATAGCGACTGAAAGACGCCGACGGCAGAAGAGTTTTAGTGCTGAACATCTTGCAAGTGTCAGAGCCCTCTTTCTAATCTTTAATTAAAAAAGGTACCCTACAGTACCCACCTTTTTCTAAATATTGTGTGTATTGATTATTGATTTTGACATGTATTGACTGACAGTATTGATGGCTTATGATAAGTATGTTTTATGCAAAAGGGTTTTTAGTTTTAAACATCTTGTGAACGTGCAGCTGATTTGAAATTATGAGTCCCCGTGCCAGACAGAGTCCGCTTTTTTCACAACACAGGCATTTGGCGGAATTGGGCAGATTTTTATTCCTCTGACGCATTTTCCCAAAACGAATCTGACAATCCTGGTCGCGGGTCAGGCAGAAGAGATAGTCTGTACAAATAAGATAAGCCAAAATAAAATACTTTCATGGCATTGCTACTTTCATTTACCACCACAAATAATGCAGTTACAATGGAAAGACGTTTACATGTAAATACGGTTACGGTAAAGTTGACACCCATTCCACGTTTCACAATTCATTTGCTGAATAAGGTTGGTGCGTATGAAGGACTCCTTGGATCAAATGATTTCCTATTGCCAATAAAATGTTTACTGCAAATTCTTGAATATTTTGTTGGCTGCCAGGGCTTCTTGAATCCTCTAAAACAAAGAAGAAAATAATAAATTAATTGAAAATGATTATCAGTATGTCATCATTATTAAATTATTGTATACACACGATGTTGAACCCCATTACTTTCTTCTCAACCGGCGGGATAATGTCATGGTTGGTGATGAAAGGCCCGGAATATAGTCGAATCGCAATAGTTAAATAGTGGAACTACAGCATAGCACAGACTTTCTCGTACTGGTTAGTTTTATAATTTCTTTGGTTTGGGGTAGGTTTTCGGTTTTGCCACATCGTCTTCCCACCTGCCATCTATCACCGCCCAAACTACATTGTTTCACACTTTTTTCCAATTTTTAGGTCCCCTATAGGTAGAACAGGTACATGGCATTAAGAATATTATAGAAGAGTAAACTTTTGTTCCATATGGAAATTTTCGTTGAAAAAGTTGAAGCAGTTTTTGAGAAAAAAGTCTTTATAATTATAAAAGTAAAATATTAATAAAATATTATAAAAATAATATTATAAAAATGTATATTTTATCAGATTCTCTTGACGTTAATATTTACATTAGCGGCGATTTGTTCACATTATTGCATTTGTGAGCTCATGTGCTTTAGATTCTGGAAATTCCGCATTTTTAGAAAACTTAAACGTCTTTTTCTTAAAAACGGCTCCAATTCTTTTTCAAGTTTTTCGTATGGATAGTGCTAATTACTTTGTTGAAGATGACATTAACATTTTTGCTTCCTCCTTTTTTTTCTTCAAAAATTACATGATTTTTTAAATATCTCCCGCGCCTTAAATATGCACATTACCAGCGATTTTTATACATTTTTGCACTTGTGAGTGGAAATGTTTCAAATGACTTCCAATAAAGTTTTTCGAAAAACTCAAAAGATTTCTGTGAAAAACAGCTTCAAATTTCGCGTTCACAGTAACGCCATTTCATTAAAAACAGCACCAAATTTTTCAACGAAAATTACCTTATAGGACGAGATTTTACTCTTCTATAATATTCTTAAAGTAATATTTCGGCTCTCAATTAGGAAAGCGAAGAAATGAGAAAATTAAAAAAAAAAAAAATCAACAATAAGTGTGGCGATAGATGGCAGCTGGCAAGAGTATGTGGCAAGTCCGAACAGCTAGTCCAGACTACATAAATTAGGAAACTAACTAGTACGAGAAAGTCTGTGCCATTCTGTAGCACCACAAGTTGACTCTTTAACGACGAGGTTCCTAAGAGGAGACGAGCATGATCCACAGTGGGGAAAGCCAAATGCGACCTTTCAGTTCTTTAGTAGGTATAGTGCCTTTCAGTAGAATAGTAGAGCTTCCTTGTATCGAGCTCCCAAATGGTGGTATACGTCCAATCCTGTTTATGCCAGACACGATTTTATTAATACGCGGACGAGTTGAATTACCAGCCAACGCCGGTTAATCAGATAGTTATTTATACATTTATTTGGTCAGAAACTCTATGCTTTTCACTAGTATGTAAAGATTTTCTCTTCATGTGTTTTAGTATCAAAGCACTCTCAGGACAGACACAATAGCTATATTCATGACGTGTCTTCAAGAGGAAGATACGGCTCGCCAACATTTCGTGGTAAAAAAGACAAATAATCTCTCTCTTCTCAAGGGACGATCATTTACAAAACCATATATTATTTCCTATCAACATTAATATTTTTGGTAGTGTTAGAAATGTACTTGCTGGCATGAAATTAATATTTAAAACTAACTATTCTTTGTCCATCTCGTTGAGAAGTAATCGATGGATTACAAATAAATTGTACATCACAACGTGTATTTGTTTAAATTCTTTCAGAAGTCAAAGTGAGCGTGCAAAATACTTGTTTCAGTCTCTTTGTTGCGACAAGACGACACTGCAGGAGCAGGTTTGAAAAATATTTAAGGAGGCACATTCATTTTGACCCCCACCCCGTAATATTTCAAATAATTATTTTACAAAAAAATCTGTTTGCTTGAAACATAGAAAAGTATATTTATTATGATCATAAGTTGGTTGGATGTGATGCGATCGATACGTAGTAATTGCTTTGAATAAATCGAGTAAAATTTCAAACAAAAATTGTGGCTTGGGGAAGTACTGTTCACATACTGTCCCTTCCACACACGGATACACCACAGATCTCTTATCTTAAATCTTGTCGTGTAGGACGCTTCTGTTCTCTCTTCAAAAATCTGTGTTCGGTCACTACGTAGCAACCGCGGAAGCATGAAAAGTGATAAAATAAGTTTAAAATGGAATTATTTATATTAGAAATTCTCTGTCGTCGAAATCACCATTTAATAGTTCAACTGTTATACAAATTCTACGATTTAAGTTCCGAGCTCTAATTTAATCATGTTTTCCATCGGACGAGAAAGCAGTAAATAATTACTTACACATTTCTGTTTATACAATCGATCCACAATTGTCGTAACGGCTGGTCGTGCTTCCTCGCTGGAAAGCGGTAGAACTTGACGCTCTTGGCAGAGTTCCGGTAGGACGTTGTGCATCCGGCCACGCTGCAACACGTGTTCCCTTTGCGGACCCGGATCTGATCTAAAAATAAAGTTTAAAACACGCAAATTAGATGGACATATCAGTGTGGGATGGCATTAACTAGATGCGACGTATGAGCGCCGCTGTGACAGGTTGATGAAACATTTTGCGCTAACTCACAAGCGAAACGGCGTGTCGGGACATTGCGAGTATCTCCAGAGAAAAAATAGGTACCATTCTTGAAACTACTTCATCCGCCAAAAAGGTGTACGTGACAAAATTTTCCTTACAAAACTTACATTACTTGTCATAGAAACAATTCGATTGATTGATTGTTTGGTGATTCCGGGTGCGTCAACTGCTAAGGTCACAAGTCCCGTAAGTCTAGTGCATCTTTTTTTTTATTGCGGGAGGTGGCGATATCCGACGTTGACTTACGTCGCCTTGTAGAGATTTACCAAGCATTGCACCAAAGGATGCAATAAATGCTTGGTTAAATGCTATGGAAATGCATTTTTGGATACGATGTTGTCAGCATACCCTGTTTGATAAAACACCAAACGAAGAGATTAGACAGATAATACAGACAAGTGATCAAACATGTAGAGTCCAAACAACTCGAATGGTATAGCCATCTAATGAGAATGGGGCCATGCTGATAGAATACCAAAAACTGTCTTTGAGTGAATCCCTTTCGAAATTACAAAACGAACGAAGGCTGAGGAAATCTTGAAAGTCCGTCACTGATTCAACAATTAACAGAAGAATAAAGGAAAACGCTTGGTGGAATACAAAAAGCATTGGCGTGTAGAGCTAGAAACGGTCATTAGAACCGTAAAGCCCGCATAATAATGACAACAACACTACTCTGCGTGTTGAAAATATTGATGTTTTACTTTGGAATGCCTTTCTCCTCTAATTTTGGAGTGCTGATTCCGAATATGTTATCAGTTTTTCTGTATCACGTACAGTTTTCTTAAAATATGAAAACAAAAATTTGTTATTTACCCATGACCTAGATCTGCATGACCATATTCATGCTTACGAAAGTAGTGTATATTTGAATTATGTAATCATGTGATTGTAAGCATATTGCAGGTACATTTCACAAGAACTGCCAGCAGTTTATATAATAATATTATTTTACAGGCAGAAATTTTCTTCTGTTTGCACTTCCGTAAGCATGAGAAGTACTTTCCCGTTTCAGTAATCAACAACAACATTCTGACATTATGATAACATTCCAACCACCAGGGATGTTCTCTCAATGTCTTTCAGATCTTGATGAAAACGTTAACCATGTTCTTCGCTGTAAAATCCAAGGCAATCTCCAAAATAGTAAATGTGAGCACGTAGCACGTTTATCTTAAAGCTCATGTTACGGCCTATTTTTCTCAAATTGGCGTTTAAATTGATTTTGTATTCTGGACTCTTGTTTCCTAGAAAGCATTTTTTGAACATCTTTGTGTCTATGCCAGGCTTGTTTTTCTGTTTTGCTTATTATATTCTCAAAATTCGGATCACACATTAATTTCCTGATCTGGGATCTAGTTAAACCTCCTGCTTTCAACTTATCTAGAGTCATTCTGTGATAAATCTACATATGTACTGTCATTGTCCTTGACTAGGGCACGTACAAACTGGCCTAAATCATAAAACACATAAAATGGTGAAATCACACTCCAGATACTTCTTATGCTACACAATGGTATATAAACGGAACTTTTATGAAACAAAATCTTCATTTTTCTCGAAAACCTGATGTGATAGAAAACAAGCTTTGGACTGTTAAACCCAGAGCAAAAGCTCCGTTTAGGAGTAAGGACCATAGGACCTTCCGGTAAGAGAAAACAATTCGAATATTACTTTCCTTTTAGACCTACTCTTCTTTTAGAATTTCACCCCTCCGCTCAAAAACTGAACAGCACTCTACCTTCGAGAAGCTGACATTCACTAACATTTTCTGAACTAATAAATTACAAAATATCCGAGGGTTTAATTTAATTATTACCCTCTTATTACTCTATGTAAAATGAAGCTGACGTGCGGATCGATTCGATGAAAAACAACAAATTATTTTACATATTATCATTGCAACAGAATACTGTTTTGATTCTTTCAAGAATGAAAAAATCTCAATGAAAATGTGACCCCGGTACAAAAGTTTCCCCCCCAGTTTTCATACAATTTTAAATTCCAACAAGTTGTGGCTCGGATTTTCAATGATGGGCTGACAAGAAGCATTTTTAGACTTGCATCAGGTCCCGTTCCAACGCCAATTTCATTATCATGCTGGCATATCCAAATATCATATATATACGAATATTGGTACATTTAAAACTGGTAAATTCCGACATCATATGACCAATTTTGATCGAAGTTGGCACATCTACGTGCTTTTTTCACCGAGAAGGTTTATGTGCTGTTAATTTTACTATAGCTGTAATGGTGTGGCAGAACAAAACTGCGCTTAATTTTAATTCTCTAAGAAACTACTAATGGCGCGTTTGAATCCACTTCTACAAGAAAAAGAAATAATACCTTATCATCAATTTGGGTTCAGACAAAGGCATTCGATTATAGAACAAATCCATCGAATAGTAAACCAAATTAGTGAATCGCTAGAAAATAAAGAATATTGCTCTGCTGTATTTCTCGACATAAGCCAGATAAGGTCTCTTCGATAAGGTCTGGCACCCAGGTTTATTGTATAAAATTACGCAAAACTTACCATATCCTTACTATCTCTTATTAAAATCGTACCTCACGGAGAGATATTTTCCAATAAAATTTAACGGTGTAACTTCAGAACTTATCCCTATAAATTTGGGGGTGCCTCAAGGAAGTGTGCTTGCACCTTTCCTTTACTCATTATACACTGCCGACATTCCAACATCTGAAAACGCATTGACAGCAACCTATGCGGACGATATAGCTATCTTAGCTCGACATGAAGATCCAACAGAAGCATCGTGTCCCGTAGAAGGACATCTGCAATCCATTCACAAGTGGCAGAAACGCTGGCGCCTCAAGACAAATGACAAGAAGTTGTGTTGCGTTGCCGCGTGACGCAGGGCGCGGCCCAGGAGAACCGGACGGGCGCGCCTGACAGGGTGAAACGAGAGACAGAGAGCGAGAGGGAGAGAGAGCGAGAGAGGGAGGGAGAGAGAGAAAGAGGGAGAGAGGGAGGGAGAGAGAGAGGAAGAGATGGAGGGGAGAGAGGGAGGAAGTCAGAGGGAGAGGGAGAGAAAGAGGGAGAGAGAGGGAGTGAGAGAGATATATTTTAGATTTATTTAGACAAAAACAGTAAAAACTGCATGTGACGTATGGGGAGAAGATCATCTGCGCACGTTTTCTTGAGTTACAGAATTCCTGCCCATCATTTTAACTATAAATAGTTAAAAGATGAGTAAAAGTTAAAGATAAATAATAAAAGAATTTAAAAAAGTGCAGGATTAGCAATATTTGAAAAAAACTAGACATTTTCGTTCCCAAGTAATAGAAAACTTATTTGCATCGGTAAACGAATTGCAGATATGATTTTTCTGCATTACTAACAAAATAGTTACTCGTTTTTACGAGAGAAGCAGATACAGAGAAACAGACCGAGAGATACAGAGACAGGTGGACCGAGGCAGACAGAGTCGCAGAGAGAGAGAGACACACACACACACACACACACACACACACACACAGAAAGAGAGAGACAGACACGGAGAGGCGGAGACAGAGGACAGTTATTGGATAAACGAAAAGTAGAGCGAAGTTTCGCCGAGCACAAGGGGAAGGGAAGGAAGGATTCGGCGATGTAGGGGCCGGAAGTGAAAACACAGAAGGAATCACGAGGAGAGCGCGAGCAGACGCAATTTCGAGGAGATCGAGAGTAGGCGAAATCACGCTATGAGTGAGTTAGTCTCGCGAGAGAGCAAAAACACGCCGCAATTGACTTGAGCTCGTAGCTGGTAATAGATCGAGCGCATTGTTCTCCGATGCAGACAGCAATTTCGCAATAACTCGTCTAACGATCAAGTCGAGGTCGACAGAATATCAAATCGAGCTGCTATAAGTGGCTGCAAAATGGACTTTGAAAAGTTACCGCGGCAGTAAATACTACGCCTAAAAAGGTGACGTAGAGATTAGAGACGACAACGTAGTCAAAATTACGCGAGTTGGTGGCCGGGAGCGGATGTCAGCTGCAGCGAGGTGGAAGCGGCGCGGTGGAGGTGCCGATGGACAGGAGGATTGAGACTACCTACCTACCTACGTTGTTCGATTTTCGAAGAATTGTTGGAACAATAAATTCCAGCGTAAAGATTTGTATTTCTTATCCATAGATGTGTTTACGATATGACGGCTTCATCTGTATTCTTCCCTCAGAATATAATGAAGTCGCCTCCTTGGTTGGTCCCGTTCATGCGTCTGCATGCTTTGATAGCCATCTGACGTCTAATATGATGGATGGCATCTTCATTCTTCAATAGCCTCTTTTGCTCCCTCTTCCAAATCTGCGTGTTCCAGATAATTTCACAGAAGAGCATTTTGTTTTCATCTTGTAAATTAATTCTCACTGATCCTCCCTCCCTGCTAAAGAGCGATTTTTATAAGAATGGGACGTTTTTACAGCTAGTGCTGGCAACACAACAGGTTCTGTGGTCGTTGTGTCCATAAGCCTATTAGACTCCCCTTCCTGCATTCGTTCGTTTGCAGTTGGCTAACTTGTAAATGGCTTCGACGCTTCATTATGTGATGTCCTCGTCCGACGAAAATGTAGTGCGCCAAAAAGAAATTACGAGGTGCAGTGCTATGTGCTCTTCTGTAAAAAATCTTTTTTTATAAACATTACATTGAATTTAGTTTTTGTATGATAAGTATATGTTTATTTTAAAACTGAGTTTTGAATGTGAGATGCGTACAGGAGGCGGTGCATGTGTTTCTGGCTCCTGTGTTGTAAGGTGGAGAACTGTGTTTGAGAGCGTTTCGTGGTTCTGTGCTTTGCTTTTTACACGTTCTTATATAATTGTGACACGGTTGTGAACCATGAAAAGAGAGAGTGGGTGCAA